TAGATGGAAACAGCATACTTAGCTTTTCGTTGTATTGGGCGGTAGCCTCCATTTGCGAAAGTAATAATGGCAAGGTCATCCGTTATTATTGTTTCTGTAATATCCATGTTATTATGTTTTGCTCCAATGACCCAGTCGTCAGCGTAGCCAAATTTTTGCAAGGTTGTCCCAGGTATATCCGCGATGTATAAATTAAACAGTAAGGGTGCCAAAACAGATCCCTGTGCAGTCGATTGCTGAGCTTGTAGCGTTTTATATTTAATGTCTAACTAATAATATAAATTCGATTCTATATAGTACGCCCCTGGTACGCTAGAAATGTGTTGTCTGTAGAGATTTTTAAATACGCAATAATTCTTCAATAAATAAAGACGTATTTGCTAAAGAAAACAATTTATGGCATTTTAACTTCAACGTTCCCAGAAAAATATTGCAACCTTGGTATTATTTTTTCTAAAGCGCAGTAACGCCGGAAGTTTTGAACAAGTTTGAGTAAAGAATTTGTTGATTTGACAAGATGGCAATGGTTTTGTGCGGGGAGAAAAGAGGCGGTTACTATCCGCAGATTGAGATCGAGAGGGTCAGCGAGGGCAGTGATGAATAATTGCTCGCAGAGAAAGGTCGTTTTAATTGTGATGTGGTAAGCCGGCATTCATTCGCCAAAAATGGTGGAATTTTCACTCTAAGTAATATGTCGTTTCTGAAAGAGTGACCACTAAACACTGTTTTTGATTTGGCTGAAGATTTATAATGTTTGAGAAGTGAACGAGTTTAGTTCCTGCTTGTTTTTCGTTTTTTGAGAAATCCAGTTCCTTTCCGAGATGCCTTTTCACCTCACGTAGAATAATATTGGAGCAGTTTTGATTTGGATGTGCCAGTTTCAGCTTCCAATAAAGCTTTCCGTTGATGTGCAGTTAGATACCCCGCAGAAATTAGCCAGTTGTTCAAAAGTTTAATTAATTATTAATTTTTAAAGTAAAAATAGACATTTTCTTTTAAAAAGACAAAATTTGCTTTCTTTTATAAATTATTTTTAAAAAAAAATATTTGTGATTAAAATAAATATTATGTTAGGGCCTGGTTTAAACTGTCATGTCATAATTTTATCCTGTTTTAAAAATGTTTTTTTTTTGACGTATGACAGTTTGATTTTTAATCTATTTTGATTTGTAGTAAAGATTAAATTTTATTCTTTATAAAAGGATATCCATAAAATTTGGCGACATTATCTACTAGGAACCATTTCGAAGAATTTTGTAACCTTTTGTAAACAGATATGTAAGTTTTTTCATTTGTATTTGACAGCCATTTTTATATAATATGCCTTTGTATAAGCTGTATTTTTGAAAACTGTTTGAGACAATAATAAATGTTAGATTTGTTTCCCTAATCTATTTTTTTATTTTATTTAGAAAAATCTCCTAACCTTTTTTTATTTTATATAGGTACTAGGGAAGAATTTTTTCTTTCCTTCTGTAAGCTAGGATCCTTCAAGTGGCGCCCTATAAGAAATTTCTTGAGGTGTTCCCAGTTTATTTTTGATCTGTTTGTCCTATCAATTGCCCAGGAGATTTATGTAAGTATCCCTTAGTTTCAAGTAGTAGATACCCCAATCCAAAACCCTTTATTTCAACTTATCCACGACCCAGCTCTCCAATAACCAACTGAGTGTCGTTCGCACTTGTTACGATTATTTTGTTTGCCCAATCTTCTACCCCTCATGTTCTTACCCTGAGGTAAGCAAAATATTGTCGTTACAAGCTTCATTTGGACACTTTTAAAGTTGCCCATTGATGAACATACTCTTAATGAGTTTAGTTACCTTTTGACACGGGATGGCACGGATTAGTTTGCAGATTAGTCCTTGTCTCCAGACAGTATCGTATGCAGCTGATAGGTCAATGAAAGCAACGGATATTTTTTACTTTCTTTGAAAACTTGCTTGAATATGTATTGTTAGGGATAGGATCTGATCTGCACAGCTGCATTTAGGTCAGAACCTTGTTTGTTCAATAGATATCAATTTAAATATGTTTATACTAATTCTGTTGTAGATTAGGCGTTCCAACAGTATATAGACACAGCTCAGCAGTGCAATAGGTCGGTAGTTTTGGGGCTGATCATTTGCCTTTCCTAGATTGTCTGGCTGCCTATTGTGCTAGTTCATTTAGCATTACCCAGGTTGCACGTGTAGTATTCTACTACGGATGCGAACTAGCTTTACACCATAATTACAAGATAAAGAGAAGAGAAGAAAAGAGGATATACAAAAAAACTAAACAACTTGAATAAGAAACTTAAATATAGAGAAAATATTGACAGAGAGAAAAAATTTAAAGCATTCTATAGGAGAGTTGACATCAACAGACAAGAATTCAAGGCAACTACAAACCAATGCAGAACTTCGAATGGTGGCCTATTAACAACAATAAAAGATGCATTCAATCGGTGTGTGGAATACTTGAAGTCAAGTTATTTATTCATGTGAATGTACAATAAAGTACTTACATACGTCAAACAATAGTATAAATTATTTGTTCTCAAATATGAGTAGATTCACCTGCTACAACGGATAGAAGACGTAAGCTTAACGATGGGACTTAAAATAAACAGAGATAAAACGAGAATCATGATAATTGACAGAGCTAACAACAATCAAAATCATCTGGTCATGATAAACAATATCGCTGTTGTAGATAAATTTGTGTATCTGGGCTCATTAATAACCAACAAAGGAGGCTGTACTGAAGAAATATAGCCCCGGTCAGCAATACAGCCTTATACGAGTTTTTTGAGACATACGTTTGTTAGCTAAGTACTTTGATAAACCATGATAACACCTGTTTGCAATTATTATTCGCCTTTTTATTTCCTCCGATGTGTTATTATTGGGGTTAACCGATGTCCCTAGATATATGAACTCTTTGACTGCTTCGAAGTTTTGGTCATTGATGATTAAATCTGCGTCAACATTTCCAGCTCTTGTGTTTGTGTTAGTCGCCATGAATTTGGTTTTATTTTGATTTATATGTAACCCTATTCGTTCTGCTGCTACTACTAGCTCGGTTAGGATTTCCGCAGTTCTCGCCCTGGTTCTTGTTATAATGTCCACGTCGTCTGCATATGCTAGAATTTGGACTGATCTATTTTAATATTGTTCCCCTGCTATCTAAATTAGCGTCTCGTACAACTTTTTCTAAGGTGACATTAAAAAGCTGACACGCCAGCGCATCTCCCTGCATTAACCCCTATGTATTTCAAATGGGATTGACGAGTCGTTTTGAATTTTTACTGCTGATAGCATCTTTGCCATTGTCACTTTTATCAAACATACGAGTTTTTTGGAATTCCTAACTCATTCATAGCGTTGTAAAGACTTGATCTTAAGACACTGTCATATGCCGCTTTAAAATCGACAAAAATATGATACATATCTGTGTTAAACTCTTGCGCTTTTTCGATGATCTGTAGTAGTGTAAAGATCTGGTTAATGGTTGAACGTTCACGCCTGAATCCTGCCTGATATTCTCCTAGAAACGTTTTGGTATAAAGCTTCAATCTCTCGTGCAAAGTGTTTGACAATATCTTGTATGCTGTATTTAGGAGAATTATTTCGCGTTCTTTCTAATTATTGCATTCCAGTTGGTTTAAATTTTTACGTAACGGACAAAGCCTAAGCTCTATTCTTCAGGCATTTGCTGCTCAGACCAAATTTTACAAACACATTCCCGGTAGCAGTCTTACTAAAAAAATCAAAGTTTGGATTTTATGGAGATTTAGAAGCAATTTAATTGCTGCAAACCATTATTCTGCATTAACTTGTGCTTGTTGGCTACATTAAGATCATGATTTTTGCAGATAACGACAGAAACATCAGCAAAAAAAAAATCAATGAACTGCAGAAGTCTGTGTGAAAGACCGTTAATATAGATTAGAAATAAAAGTGTTCCTAATATTGAACTCTTTCCACCCACCTGCACACTCTGATTTCTATTGGAGAGATAGCTTAAGATTATTGTAATGCTAGTACCCCGAAAGCCATATCTCTACAATTTTCTGAGAATCAGTGTTGTGTCTGTACACACTTTGTAGATATCTTAACTATCTTGGTTGATGTCTTTTAGGATTGAAATGAATGTACTTTATGTAAAACACAATTAAATGCTTTACTCAGATCCAGAAGATAGTAGACAGATAACAGCTCTTCTGGATACTTAAATCGGGTACTTAATTTAGAAGAAGTAGGAGGATGGTTTCAGAGGTTAAGACGACTCTCTTAATAGAAGAGAAATGTTTAGAGCAATAAAAGAGCTAGGAGTACCAAGCAGGTAAATTTAACAAAACTAATATTCTCTCATTTGCTAATGTTTGCAAACTATTTCTGTCTCCAAAAATAAAGTTTATTCCAAGTAGGTAAAAAGCGAAATGTTCCAGCGAAGGTAAAAAGGAAAAAATATATCTATACAAATCAATTTAAAAACACTTAGCAAATACAACCGCAAATGTAATAAAATAGATCATTTGATTATAGAAATGACTTAAAAGCTAAATCGGAAATATAGTAGTGGGATCAAACCACGGACGGCGATAAAACAACTGCAAGGATATGTCGCAACGAGAACAAATTGAAAATCACGAACCCGTTCTTTATATATAAAGATATTCTTAAATACATATGGAATTCTAAAAGATGGAGACCGATAATAGACTACATAGTAATAAATGAAACATTATAAAGCAAAGTATAAATTATTAGAAACTAACTGGTATATATATTATATATACCACGAAGAGACGAATGACATATACATAATTGATACAATTTAAATATCCGAATCGATAGATTAGATATATAGACAGGATTTAAAGGAAGTACATTTAGATTTACCGATTTTTCAAAATGTGACGTCAGTTGCATTTTAAAATACATAAGTATTACATTATTTTCTTACCTGTGACAGATGGCATATAATTTTATGTCATTTGTCATGTACATATATTTATCTCTGTCATGATTTCACGTTTATCAACAAGAGATCCAAATAAGGACTTAAACAATTAGTAACACTAAAGAAAATGCATTGTTAAATATTAACAGAAATAATATTTAATTTCTAATGACTTTATCGCAATAGATAATTACATTCTATTGATAACAATGCCTTCAGTCCAACAAATTTTGGCCTGTATGTTTATGGGGAAACTTAAAAAAATTTATGGGGGCCCAGTAGAGGTAATTTGTTTTTGATAAAATAATACAATTATTATATCAGATATCTTTTTTCTAGAAGGTGTATGAACCAAACTCTATTGAACATATTAGTGACAAGTGCTTAAATTCTGTAAGTATGCATAATAATGATTGGTGAAAGTTTTGTATAATGAGTTCTTTTTAGCTATATGTAATTTGGAAATTAGGAATCTACACATCACCAATTGTAGTGGGATTCTTATATCAGAGGGGATACTTTGATCCTGATGGTATATTAATTCTTACAAAATTAATAACAACTGCAGGGGTCATTGTTGTTATGTCATTTTGTTTAAGAGGGTATGGTAGAGCCACCAATCCAACATATGTAAAATATTTGAATACTGTTAAGACTGCAGAAAGAGATATGACACCAAGTGCAAAACAGGAATTAATGAAATATGATTTTGATTTTAAATCTTGGCCAGTTGAGTACAAATGTACAAATGATGCAAGGTATGATAATTGGTTTTTATTTTCCTTATAGGGGTTAGAACAAGTTTAAGGTCAATGTATTTATAAGTCATTTATTAAACAATTAAGTGTTAATAAACAATTTTTTACTAAACTAGTGCTGTACAACTAGAGAACTGATTATGTACTATCAATTAAGTATACTTACCATTTTTTCATATGTTTTTTTACTATAACATTACTTTTTGATAATATTTGACAAATATAGAAATAGTTACATTTTAAAAATTAGATTAACGAAAATTAGGTCCCAACTTAATATTTCTTCCTGCCTGTTTCTACTCTTTAGTTATTCCTCTAATTCCAGTTTAGTTTTGTCTTCCAACAGTACTTTAGTAGCATATCCTAACTACTAAGGAATAGAATAAATGCTGTTAAACTTAAATAATAACAGAGCTAATATGGGGCTAGTTACAGGATCACTAGATAAGAGAGTTCACAATAATTAAAACAGAAACAAGACATTTTACGGAAAGTATGAAGATACAATCATTCTAACAAATCTGGACTCGTATTACTGAACTATTGAAGTACAATAGATACAATTATAAATATACTTTTATATTTATTAATTTGGATGAAGGCTGTTTAAAGTTGGTAATTAACTATGTGAAATTGAAAAATACATTTTTTTCATCAACTTAATTAAGTGTCATTATGTTAAAAGAAATGTATATGCCATATATTATCCACTAGCTGCTAAATTACACTTTTTTGTTTTTATAATATATTTGTGCTGTAAAAACTTCAGAACTCTCTACCATATCAAAAAGCGTTCCAATTACTATTTTAGTTCAATCTTGAACGTTTTCAACCAAGAAAGGTGTTTTCTCTACACACTTCTTGTCCTTTTCATTAGAGGTTACATAGTTTGCATTAACTTATTGTATGAATAAAACTAAATATTAATGGACAATATTTTTTTGGAGTAATCTCATTTCGCTAGCTTGGATACTAGAATTATCTACTTATCAAAGTCTTTAATAGAAAATCGTGACTTTAGTGATAGAGGATAGACTTACCTTTATCTCTTTCACAAAACATTACCTCTATCTAGGCTACTCAGTAGAAGGCATGTAAAATCTAAAAAGTCATTTTTAGGATATTCCCTCTATCAAAAGCAGAAAGATATGTATGTCGTCATTATCATCATCCTCCTTGGCTCTACAAACTTCTGTGGCTCACCATTCTCACCATTATGTTCAGTTTCTGGCACTGAACTCCCTAAGTTGGTCTCAACTCCTTCTAGCCACCTAATTTACGCTTAGCTTCTTCTTCCTATAGATGTTTTGGCTGTTAACTTTTGTGACAATCATATTGTCAGGCATTTGTATTATGTATCCAGTCTATCTAAATTGCTGTATTTTAATGAACATTATAACTCAAAATTATATCTTTTGCACCACTGCCCTTGATCATTTGTAGGTCCAAATACACTGGGGCATATCTTACACTAGAATATTCCCAAAAGTCTTTCATCCTTCTGCTTTAGAGCCCATGTTTCTGCCCCATAAGTAAGGAATGGCCTCAGCAGTGTTTTGTATATAATAATTTTAGTTTTTATTTGGATATTTCTTGAGTGGAACTGTTTTTTAAGTTCATAGTAAGCCTTATTTGTAAGGTTTACATGTCTTTTAATTGATTTGCTTGTTTTGTTGGTAGTAGTCACTATTGAGCCAAGGTATGTGAAGATGTCAACATATTTAAAGATAGGTCAGATCCTTGGTAACCAACATGTATTTGGTTTTGTCTTTGTTGATGACTAGACCTACCTGTTTTGCCACCATTTTCAATTCTAGGAAATATTGCTCAACATCTTAGATATGTATGAAATGCTTCCCAAAAGTAGTTTTGTATTATATAGGTAAGTATTTATTTATGCAAAATTAGAACTAAAAATAGTTTTTTGGATTGTCTATGAATGCCCCTAATAATTCAGTAGAATACAAAATTCTGTAAAGTTGTCATTAAATGATGATTAGTCATAGATTAAACACCACATTGATATCATATGGTGTTTAATATTGGTGTACAATATTGGTGTGAACTTGTATCTTGGAGTAAACAAACTACTTTGTACAAAAACTGCTACTTTTGCTTCAATTGTTACTGTTTGGTTATAGCAATTCATAAAATAATGCTTTTTAGGGAAATGGTACAACAAATTCCCAAAAAACCTAGATATTCTGGATTAATTAATTGGCTGTGGCAGTTACCTTTCAAAATAATAGCTTATTTTGCTATTCACACTTTTGGTATTAGACTTATTTATCCAGGAACCATTGGATTCCTTCAAATTATATTAGGTAAGTTATTGATTATTGTCAGTTTGATTTTATATTTCATATCTAGAAGCATGTAGCAAGTTTGTTCAACAACACTTGAAGATTTAACATTCCACTGTCATGTAGAATATATCATTAAATTTAGCAATATATAGGACAGTAAACTCATTACAATATATAGAAGGTCCTGATAGAATTCTCGACCATAACAAAAGTCTTTGTAAAATGTCTAAGAAAGCTTCAAGATTTTATGTCCAGGTTCATCTGCAGTTTTACTGGCATTCATTCCCAAATAAAATAGGGTTCTTCTTTCGAAAAAGTGACCTATGAATTAAGTTTCAAGACTCTAGGTCATTTAATCTAGTAGTTATCACACAGATAGAGACACAATTATCAGAACTATAACATTAACAGACACCTATAAACAGATTTACATATATTCAGTGTGCTGCAGACTAGAGCTGCTTTTAGAAGGATGTCCAAGGTGTTATGTAACAGAGACCTAAAATTGGCATTAAGGATCCGCCTACTTTGTTGCTATGTGTTCTCGGTCTTACTTTATGCTGTTGAGTCCCGGACTGTGAATAAAATCAATCTAAATCGCCTTGAGGCTTTCGAAATCTAGTGTTATAGAAGAATTTTAAAAGTTTCCTGGGTAGAGAAGATTCGTAACTCCACAATACTAGAACGTCTCAGCAAGACTACTGAGATCATAAAAAGCATCAAGCAGAGAAAGCTGGAGTATTTCGGAGTATTCCAGGACGAAGAAGAACCTCATGGTTGAAGAACTTGCGAGATTGGTATGGTGTTGATACAAGCATGCTGTTTAGGGTGGCAGTGAATAAAATTAAGATAGCTATGATGGTAACCAACTTTCTGAAAGGACATGGTACATGAAGAAGAAGAAGTGTGCTCAATAACTAATTATTTATTTCACAGTAGTCTTATTTGTATGGTTTCTTAGTCTGAGACTGAGAGGAGCAATATGAATGTTGTTGGATGCTCAATGCTTCCCACTAAGTGTCAATACTATGGGCCAATGATTTGGAACTTCACTGCTAACATTATATAGGTACATAACTCATTGAATAATTATTATAAGCACATTTCTAGTCTCAGGCTTACAGACCCCCAGACAATTTTAATATCCCTGAATATTAATATGGGTTCCAATGGGGTTCTGCTCAACTACAAATGCATTGATAGATCTAACCTATCTTGTTACAAATTCATAAATGATAATAACAATGCCATAGCCAATACAATCTATCTATCTATCTAACAATGCCATAGAGACATTCCTTGATATCCAAAATACTTTTGATCAATTCTGGCAGGACAGACTGGTTAAAAAGGACATTCGCCTACTCTTTCAATGCATTAAGATTTAATATAATCTTCAAAGTAAAGAATTATGATCCCTCTTCTCCTGGACTGTGAGATCCATGATGTTAATGTCATTAGCCTTGGCTATTTAAATAAATATTAAAATTATTACTCTTTTATTTTAGATCAAAGTCTCATGCAAGGTAGATCTAAGCTAGTAGAACTGTACAGAGGGGAAAGATTCAAACTTGAAACAGCTGACAGCAATCATATTGATACCATGTTTGTTGATAGAAGAAAATCAACCTCAATTGGTAACACACTGGTAGTATGCTGCGAAGGAAATGCCGGATTCTATGAAATGGGCGTAATGAGTACCCCCATTGAAGCAGGATATTCTGTATTGGGCTGGAATCATCCTGGCTTTGCCAATAGTACGGTAAGTGATCATTTAATATATTGTATAAATAGAAATAGCAAAAACATTTAGATATTGATATCATTTGGTGTTTATTACACCAGTATTAAGCTTTCTTTATTTTTATACCCAATTTAAATTATACAGCAGGAGCAACTAATACATTATTTACCAGTATCGAAAATTACAAATAATGGTTTGTCCATGTACTTACAGTAATGATTATAAAAATCCAATTGGTTTGATCTCGTAAGGTGGTTCATATGAGATCAAAACATTCACATACATATTTCTCATTTTATTACTACTGCCATTAATAGATTTTTGTCCAGATGAAGGCGAAAACATTTGTCTACCTACTTTAAATTAATTTTCTCTAATTATCAAAGGTAGTTACTGCTTCTCCAGAATAGCAAGACTGAAATTCTCGATTTTTATGTATATGTTACGAGCAATGTCCGAAATTGAACAATCCTAGCATTGTACGAAAAATCTTGTCCACTTCTAGCATTGTACCCCTTTTCTGTACAATCTCCGAAATAGACATAATCGGCGGACTGTATATAAAAGAATTGCTGTACAATGTTTGAATTTCAAGAAGTAGCCATGCATCAAAGTTTGGGAGAATATGACAGATATCGATTCATATCGATTTTTACTAACATTGTCGCTCTATTTATTGTAGAACAATTTTTTTCTTATTATTTATATTTTAGTTTGACTTAGCATTTTATCACATTGTCGATTTGAAAAAGAACAACTCTATAATATATAAATATAAAAGATCAAATTGTTCGATTTTTGATTTGGTGTGCGTTTCGATAATCATTTTTAATTTTGGTCGTTTCGGACATTGTACAGTTTGGGGGTACAATGCTAGAAGTGGACAATAATTTTCGTACAGTGCTAGGATTGTCCAATTTCGGGCTTTGCTCGTAACATATATAATTTATGTTAACACATTTTGCACGATTTCCATATGCTGAAATAGTTGTGAAAATACTTCACAGGATAGCACACAGGTAAATAAGGTTTAATTTTGAGTGACCTTGTTTATGAGTTTCATTACATTCTGACAAATAAATCCCCTGTGTATGTTACAAAAGTAGCAAAAAAACGTGTTTTAGCTTACTTTATTTTAAATTTGTATTTTAAGAAATCAAATAAGCATGTCTAAAAGTTAGGTTATATTTAGATTTGTTTTAAATTTCTTTATGAGTGACTAACCAACCAAAAGAAGGAGAAGGAAGGCTTAGTAAATGGCTTATCTAAATTACTATTTTTTTGGTGACTCGTTATAAAATATGAATACAAATGAATCTATATGTGCCATTGGTATTTAAATAAGGTCTCGCTATACAAACAATACTCTGATCACCAAGTAATTTAAGTTTGCCTAATATAGGAATATTATATTCTAAAGTGTGTTGTAGATTATATCAATTATAAATAAAAGTATACAGGGTGACGGCTATAGGCTGTTATGATATGACATAATTTCAATAAATCGACTAATACAATAATTTTCAGGGCAAGCCATATCCTTCCCAAGAACAAAACGCCATTCATGCCGTTATGCAGTTTGCAGAACAGAAATTAAAATTCAAACGGGAAGATATTATATTGTTCGGTTGGAGCATCGGTGGTTACGCAGCATCGTGGGCAGGTGTAAATTATCCTGAAATAAAAGGCATGGTAAGAATAAGTATTATAATACAGCAAAATAACACTACTCTACAAAAAAATTTAATTTTATTAATTGTTTAATTACATTTACAGCTCGATAATTACGCTATGTACAAATTTCTACGTGCATCTGTGTTATTAATTCAAATTGCAAAACATGCTAGTTTAAAAGTGCATATTTGGCCAATACAATCCAGGTAGCTTTCGGATTTATGTCAAATTGTCAAATGTGTGTCAAAATAACGCATAGCAATAGCAAACAGAACTTTCCATGGTGTACATTGGAGTACAATTGTTGTAGTTTATGTCGTACTTTATCGAATGCTTTATTATAGTCAATAAAACTTGCGTATATATCTTGATTGGCGTCCAGGCATCTTTGCGTTCCTAGGCCTTTGCGAAAACCAAATTGTGTATCATTAACGTATATGTCCAGTTTGTGATTTATTCGGTTATGGATGCCTTTTAGTAGTAACTTTAGCACATGAGACATCAAGCTAATGGTGCGGTAATCGCTGCATTCTCCTACGTTTTTCTTTTTAGGGAGACAAATAAAAATCGATTTTAACCACTCTTTGGGTAATACGCCTGAACTATAAATTTGGTTCAAGGGTGTCACTAAAACATCAATGTGCTTCTCATCTAGAATTTTTAGGATTTCTTAGGAAATGATTCTCTTTAGGATAAGAAAGATGTCAGCTCCATGGCTTTTCCCACTTTTCCTTGTTTTTAATGCGTGTAATATTTCATTTTTTTTTTGTAATATATGGACCTATTTCTTCTATCGTAAGTTCTGTGTGCTCCAAATCTCCTCTTTCATCATTGAACAATTCGTCGATATATTCTGCCATCTTTGTACTTTTTCCATTGGCGTACAGATATTTCTATTGTTACAAGAGATAAATGATAAAAGATAAATGTTCGTGTTTGTTGTAGGTATTAGATGCTACTTTTGATGACGTTCTACCTCTAGCTGTTAATACTATGCCCACTTGGATAGAACCTATAGTCAGAGTAGCTATAAAAGATCATGTAGATCTTAACATAATTCAGCAACTAGTCGAATATCCCGGGCCCATTTTGTTAATAAGGAGAACTGACGACGAAGTTATATGTTTAAGGTAGGTTTAATAATAATGTAGCATTTTTTGCCCACTTTGTATATCATTCCATAAAAATTTCTCAAGGTTTTATTTACCATTTTGAAAATTGCGTCTCAAAATCTTCGAAAGAGAATAAGCATAACCTAAATGTTTGTTTATATTTATCTTATACTTCATATTTATAAATAACCTCACGCGTTCTGATAAACAAGACAATAGTAGACAACATCCAATACCACTATTTAATTTAAACTGATTTCCTTTAAAAACTAGTCGTACATGACTTCTACTAGGAATGTGAATTAAGTGAAGACTTCCCTATTGAATATTGCCTACTTCCTGGTGAAACGAGGATTTTTCATATAAAAATGAGGGCACGTTATTCAAGATTGACAACATTTCAACAAATTAACTAATGTGACTAACCTTTTACCATGTGTTTTTGTGGTTTTGACATTTCTTTTGTCCTCATTTTGCCATGAACGACATATTGTTCCGTTTTGGAAAATTATTGTTTCATAAAAAAAAACAAACTTATACAAAAATTTCTCTACAATATAGTTTCTTAAAATAAAGTTCACTTGACTGCAATATTAGGCAGTTCCATAACTCTAAGCCTTGGAGAATGTTTTTTTCATCTTTTTTTTTTCTAGGTTAATGACACTGGCAAAGCCAAAATGCCAGTCATGATTTTTTCATTTCAAATCCAATTCATTTAATAACTTGCATAATGAAGTAATGAAACATCCTGAAACCCAATTCGTTTAATAACCTGCATAATGATGTGATGAAACAAGCTCCCCCTTAATAATTTTAAAGTTACATGTTTTTCTATAAACAAAACTAATAAACATTTCTCATGAACAATCATCCTGTCTATATTTGCTAATTTGTCAAAGTTCTTACTTGTTTTAGACATGTCTTAAATAACATCACGAGTACCACTGACATTCAACTCTTCTGTATTAGTTTGTCTTTTTGTAATACCGTTTTTTAGGAAGTGATTTTAAAAGTTAATTCTTTTTAACAGCTTGTGAAATATTATTTACAGTAGATACACTTAGTTTTAAGACTACTGCAACAACAAGCAACAACACTGTAAACAGTTTTGCCAACGCTGAACTGTCATTGAAATTTGAAGTATTCCCATGTCAGTGGGGAACGATTGTCTAATGTATTTAATTAAAATTATTACTTTGTGCAATATTGAACAGTTATTTCATAAAATTTATATTTTAAGTAATAACAAATGTTTTTGGTTATTTAATCAACATTATTCTAAAATTCTCAGTATAATCATGATTACATTTTTCGGATTATTGTAGCATGTTGACGCCTATGAAAGATCGAGCAGTTTCGTATGCGTGTCGTATTATTAGTTGTGTTAGGGAAATTTGAAATCTGATTGATGTTCTGAAAATTTTAAATACACTTTGTATAAATTATGACGTGCAACGTTTTTACTTTCTTCTTCTTCTTTTGTTTCTATGGCTTCCACGCCAGGGTGATACGCCAGCTCAATTTATTGGTGACCCCGAAAAAAAAACGTTTTTACTTTGAAAAATAGTATAGATGCAGTTACCTAGGTTCTGAGTTAAATAACATACGTCCACGTTTAAAAGTCTAACCTGTATCTGACTTGACCGTGGTCGTTTCAGCTATTTGTGTATATGTATAATTTTAGTATTAAGTTTAAAGAATTAACATTTTTTTGTATGTATGTATATTTTTTATGGTGACATTTGTTTTAGGCAGGGGGATGTTTCGTCAAACAGAATAAACATTCTATTAAAGAAATTACTACGTTATCGATATCCCTTCATCTATGACGATGTACGAATTCAGATAGTGGACAGCTATTTGTGCGTTTCACAGGACGAACAAGGTAAGTTACATTTTATCGATAGTTTTTAAGTCATTTTTTATTTATTAATCAGCTTTAACTAGCAGACTTCTAACGTTACAATGTATTGGTCATATTTTTGACGTTGTCATTTTCGCACAGCACACAGAAAGGTATTTTACATAAAGGTAGTTCTTCTTCTTCTTCTTCCTTTATTGGGTAATATCTAATAAAGGTAGTTATATGTTACGTTATCTGGCACTATCCCCTCCCCAAATAACCTAACCAAACAAATTTGACAGCTGTCACTTCGTAACATTTTTTGGCTGCGTTTAGTTTTGAGATTTTACTATACTGTACGATTTGCAATTTCTTTAATTTTATTAAAGCATTACCCTTCAATTAAAACTAATCCAATTTTTTGTATAATTTAAAATATAAATGAATGCTTTTAGTTACTCTCTACTCATCGATACTACATATTGATGAGTTATTTCATAAAGACTAAACTATCTAATTTCATAAACATTTTTCAAAGTTTTCACAGGTTTTCACAAAATTAAATAAAAACGAAAATACTGTGAGTAGTACAAGCTAATGTAGAGTAGAGTAAATTTTTATTTGCATAAATTTTTAAACATAAATGAGCAAATAACGTCACATTACTAATTACAGATTAAAAAATATAATATATATATATATATATATATATATATATATATTGACATCACACATTTAAAATATATTAACATTGCAAATTAAATATGATGATCAAGGAGAAGGATAGGCCAGGCACTCCGCCACAGTATATAGCTCAATGTCAACAGTTGTTAAAAAACCTTTTTTTTTTAAAGGTCTGTAGTGTGTTTCCTGTTGAATGTCAGTTTAAAATTTAACACACGCATACAAAGAACGTCTATCTGTTATAGACAATCTGTGAAGTGGCAAATTCAAATTAAGGTTTCTTGTATTATATTCATGATTGGGAAGCAGGTTATAAAACAAAGAAAAATTTTTGAAAACGAACATAATACATTCAAATATATAGATGGCTGAGAAAGTGACTATATTGATTGGGTCTCTACAGGATTCTCCCGCCTTTAGTCCTAAGATCACCCGGACTGCCTTTTTTGGGCTATAAAGACAGTTAAGCTCTCTGCTGCATCACACCAGAAGATTACTCCATATCCCATAACAGAATAAAAATTTGCATAATATACTGATAGTAAAATCCCCTGGTCTAGATAGCTCTTTAACACTATTAAGGAGTAGTAGGTTCTATTGTTCTATTCAGTATTTTTGTTGTATTTTGTATTTGTTCCCCCCATTCAGATTCTGGTCAATATGAAGACTAAGAAATTGTAGATATTGATTTGATTTTTGGAATTACCCTTAATCTTTTTTACCAATTCCCAAGCCATTTTAGTTTTATTTTTGCTATTTTCAATTTGTTTTTTATAAAAAATTTTTCGAGATTAAGTGAGTAAAGGATTGTATCTGCATTTTTCTGTCCTGTAAATATCTTTATAATCAACATTAATGGTAGACAGTGTAAACAAAACATCAATCCTAGATTTACAATGATTTATATCATCATTTTTAAAGTACTTTTGTGATTTTTTTTATTTGCTATATTTATCTCTGAGTTGAAAACATTGTATAAACATTTTCTGAACTATATTCATAAAAGCATCCCACTGATTATCTACTTCTAATGTCTCAAAAACAGATACCCAGTCTACATTACTTAACATTAATTGAAAAAAAAACGTTTATTTTCCTTGCTAAATATTCGTTTTTTTATTATATTTGACTCAAATTAAAATTTTATCTTTTGAGCAGTATGATCAGATGTATGAGCATTGAATACAAGGGAATCAAATATGTCAAGATTTGTCATATCTATTTTAAAAATAATTAAATTGGTACCTATGAGTCACCTTTTCATATGGCGCTTGTATTAGTTTTCATAATGAAAAATTCTGTAAGTTTTACATTATATTATGTTTCAGATAACTTTTTACATAAATATGCCATAGATGATGGATTTTGCTACTCATCGTTGCAGTCCTACATATCTGAATATTCAAAGAGTTACCCTATGAAAATTGGAGAAGACTGGAACGATCAAGATAAAGCGCAAATGGCTCTTTACTTGGTAAGATTCACATTTTTTCTAGCAAAAATGAAAATATACGAGCGATAAAATTGTTTTTATGATTGGTCTGGGAATAAATTACCAACATACAGTATGGCTAATGTATCTTTGAACTATTTTTAGTAGAAAAATAGTAAAACCGATATAAAATACAGGGTGATACATTAAAAAATGCTGACCAATAATGAATTTGTGTTTTGACTTATCCTGTATCAAATTTATAGAGTATTGGCAAAATCATTTATTTTGTAATAAGCTTTTGGAGATTAAGTTATGATGCCAAATTACTAAAACAATATTCATAGCTAGTGATGCTTCTCGATTAAATCTTGCTCTTTTACATTGGTTATCCGGCTCGAAGGACCAATATAAAAAGGTGAGATTAAACATATTTTTGGGCGACCTCAGATTTATGGAGAATACAAAGAGAGATCTAGATATCGATTTTTAATTCAAATTATTGTTCCAGGCTAAAAACCACATGATGGACTTCAAGGCTACCCATTGCGTAAACTTACCACCTGACATGTTTCGGAAGCCATGGGATGTAATCGTTGAAAGCGATTTTGTATTTATGAATAACTAGATAATCGACAAATATTTATACTATTATTTAAAGAATAATAAACCTCTTTGATTCTTGTTGATTTATGTGAACATTAAAGCAGAATTTAATTAGTGATATATTTTTCATATTTGCGGTACGTCAAGTATGGCAACCTACAAAGTATTTATATTTGTAAATTTTAGGTTTGAATGAGTTTCAATAAAGGTGTTAGTCTAACTATATTTTGTGTAATATACCCTTAGAATATCCACAGAGAAGTGATATTATCCTGAAACGTTGCTATAATACATTTATATAACTGTGTCGAATGCACAAATCAATACACGTTATATTGCGACTTATTTTTCTCGTAGTCGGTGTACATTCAGTGCGTTGGGCTCAACAGTACATCTTCATCATCGTTGATTTAACAATATGAAATATTGGAACATAACCACAGGAAGAAGCTTAAAATATGTGCATGCCACGAAGGAAATGACCACTTTAATTGACCTTCCATGACTCATACTCACATGCTTAGCTAAAGAAATAGACAGGACAACGCAGGCAATCTCGTATAATAATAAGTTATGTGTCATGAAAAATCAGGTAAGATGGCCTCTTTGCTGTGGTTTTTATTATGAGTAAATATGCCAGCTGCTTGGAAATGCCGTACTCTTCTCGATTACTGTGCTACCGTTCATGGTATTTTCTCCCAGATCCCTCTTACTCTCTATTTTATCTTGTGAACAGAGTTTTTCTATGGTGTGTTGTAAAATTCTCAACAAGATGCCTGCAGATAGTTGGGTTTGTGAGGCAGACTTACAGTATAAAAGGATAGCCAATAATGCGGAATATATAAGTTGGCACAGAATAGGATAGTACAAATAGCAAAAGATAAGTCTCCAAATGGACGAAGAAGTATTGGCAGACCAAAAAAGATGGTGCGGTCAATTTCCTGACCGCAAATTCTCGTAGCGCTTCCTAAAAATAATGTATTAAGTTTATATCCCTGTGTGGCAATCTATTGGAATATTTTGAAACTACGAAACCGACAGCACGTGCATAATTTCATTTGTTTTGCAACAATGGCACAAAGCAGTTGTAGTGAGCGTGTTTGGAGGAAAGTACTATCTTTAAATATTTATTTAATCATAAATAATTTGCAGCATATTTTTTATTCATTGTGTTCTTAAAAGGTTGCAAATTAATGTAAACAGTATAGTTTTTCAAAAAAATAAACAAATAATGAGTAATAACAGATAAAATGTTTCTATCCTTTATGTAGGCATACGGTGGCAAACACTCTACGTTAACATTTTTTTATGTATAACTATGACAATGATCCAGATTTCGAAAATAAAAACGACACATCCAGTTCTGATAAAGCAGGAACAAATTCTGAAGATATATCTAGATCTCTTTCGCCTATTGTAGAAGAAAGTGATTCCTGGGAGTTGGATGCATTTTTTATCAATACATTGATGATACCATTCTTTTAGCAATAAGCCGTCAATGCTTTTATGCCATCAGAACTTCATTAAAAGTAGTTTTTGATTCCGATATAAATGTGGAACAAAGACGCGTTAAGATTTGGAAAATAAGGCCTTTATTTGATAGGATATGTGAAGGTTGTCACGCTCAAGAACCCACTTAATCATTGAGTATCGACGAAATTATTATTCCATTCTCCGGTAGATGTCCAATTCGTCAGTATTGTCCCAATAAACCAAATCCTGTACGGTTAAAAGCTCTTGTTCTTGCCACTCCACATATACAAGGAATTGAATGTGATATAAATATATATCAAGGGGATTCAATATTTCCACAATTATCTAGTGACGGTTTTGGATTAGGAGAGTCAGCAGTTGTATTGTATCTAGTAAGATCACTGGTACACGGGCGTAAAATATACTTTGACCGATATTTTACTACCACAAAGCTTTGTACCGAATTATTGTCTCGTGGACTTTATGGAACTGGAACCATTATGATGAACCGGATCCCTAAAGATTGTTTCACGCAACCAGAAAAACTTTTTTCAAAATCAAATTCAAAAGGGTACTTATGAAATCAAAAACAGAGATGATAGCAAAATGGCGATCATACGGTGGATGGACAACAAACCAGTAATAATGTTATCTACTATCTTTTTCCTCGGGGAATATAGGTTATTGTAAGCGGTGGTCAAAAAAATAAATCATATGAACAAGTTTGCCGGCCAGAAGTCATTAAAGAGTATAATAAAAATATAGGTGGAGTGGATTTAGTAGATCTTGTGCTTGCCATTCCGTCGCATAGTCGTACCAAAAAATGGACAATACAGGTTATTTGCCACCTTATAGATTTAGCAGTCGTCAATGCTTGGCTTCAATATAAACAGCGTGAAAGAAGTAAAGGCAGTAAAAATATTTGGCAATTGAGACATTATAAAATAAAAATGGGAGGGAAACTAATTGAAAAAAAGGATATGGACAATGATTGCGATGGAGAAGATATAGTTCAATTAATGCCTAAACATAAACACAGAAGAACGCATATTACTCCTTTACCATCAGTCATACAAAGGCAATACACATGCCAGATTATACTCCTAAACAAAACAGATGCAGAAAAGATGGCTGCTCCATGAAAACAACAATATTTTGCAAACAATGTTCAATTTTCTTATTGTTTTAGAACTGTAAGATATTGTTTTAGTGCACAAATTTTATATTTTTATTGTTTCAAACATTTATTTTATAGAATGTACATTTTTTGGTTATTAGAATGAATCTTGTTTTTGTGGTCTCAAAAATAAAAGACATATTAACTTCTTTAAGTTTTTTTTTATTTTTTTACCTTTACTAATCTCGTAATATAGGCAACCTATGAGAAGAACGTTATTTTTTGTTTAAAAGATCAACAACCTACATCTGTCCTTTATGCAGAACATTAATAAAATCAATATTTTAGGATTAAGATTTTTTTAAACATTTTTTCATACTTTTTAAACTTCCTTACGCAAGTCTGAAAGCTAAAAATATTAAATTTAGAAAAAAAACATTACTATAGGCAGGAGGTTAAACAATTTAGGAGGCTATTAAAGAAGAAACAAGCTTTAAAGCCTACAGACAAGAAGGAAAAAAAGAGAATATATAAGCGGTATATACTTGTCATTAAAACATATGCAACAAAGTCAATATCAGGAGAAAATCCAAGAATTGATCACTAAAAAATACATTTCTCAATACATGTTGGTCCAATTTTTCTCCCTATTATTAATTTTTCAGTAGCAACTCATGTGTCTTTGCCTTTGTTCCGCAATTTCTGAGTTTCTTCAGTTTTCGCATTTTCTTAATGGATTTTTATAATGAATTTGGATCTTTTTCAGAAGTTGTTCCTAAAATAGATATAGAAATACAATAAAGAAATTTCTTTGTGCGCATAGGTAGAATCTATAACAGAATCATTACTGCTAAAATCTTGAGAAGGATTCTCATCACAGTCAATTATAAATTCAACATATCGTAGGACAGTCAAATGTATACTGACATCAAGGACACCAGTCATCTGGACCAGTTTTTTCCATAGTTGTTTCTCTTGGATTATGAACATACATGTTTCTCTGTTTCATAAACAAAGAAATGTACTTTTAAATAAATTTAATGAACATATATGTCCTAAACTACTAATAATAAATACTACAAAACAACCAAATATATATTTAGGAAGAACATAATTCAAATAGTATAACATTATTGACTTTTTACAAAATTTCCCATTTTTAATCTTTCAAGATACTCCTTTCTGCAGTCCATTTCATCTTTTGGCCTATTGTGGGGAGTCCAAACAGGTTCTCCAATAAAGAACCGTTTAGCCTTAATGAAGTTATTACTGTCTAAAGTAAATCTGTGATAAATACCGCGGGGCAAAATCAACAAATCTCCAGGCACCACTTCTATTCGAATCCACTTATCATCTTGATCTCTTACATCAAAGTATCCAGATCCTTCTAAGACTAAACGTATTTCTTCATCTGTGTGTAAATGTTCTGTGTAAAATATCTTCAACTTTTCTGCATAGTTTTCCAAACACTTCTCGGAACATGTTATCTCATCTTCGTAGTTATAGCCTCTTTCTTGTTTAATTTTATCAAGTATTCCATCTGTGTTTAATGTTTCCATATTGAGTTTGAAATACTCCACTCCCGTGTTTTTAAGCAATTCTGGTAAATTTATAAATTCTGGAGGATCTTTTTGGTGTTCTAGACGCTGATCTTTATCATCATTATCCATATACCAAGCACGAACCATTTTTAAAAAGTATAAGTATCTTTTACCTTTGTGTTATAAGTGAATATTATTTAATTTTATTAAATATTACTGATTAAGCTGCAAAAGTAGACAATTATCAGTATTTCGAAATCGTTTAACATTCGTTACTTGAATGAGCTGGATATCAATTATCATATTTTATACAAGCAATAATTAAAAACATGTTTACATTTTTAAGTATCTTCATTGTTTATGTCTAATGTGCTAATGGCATCCTTAACAGCTAATAGAAGAAGAAATAAGACTTCATGTTTGTTCACAGCACACTCCTACCGAGCAGTGCCAGTCCTATGTTAATGAGTAAAACGGCGATTGGCACATCGCTTAGTGTCAGGGTGCGCAACATACATGGTGGCACAGTACATAGCCTTCTAGTAAGGTAAGTCCCATAGAAAGATTTTAGAGCTTCTAGCGCCAAATGCGGTAGGGCCGAAACTAATATGTCAAAAAATATATATCCAAGGTTAGTAAGAGGGAGGTTGCATGGTAACTCTAATATTGACAGAATGAAATATGACGTGTGACGTCACCCAGGGGGTCAATTTTACGAATTGTTTGATAACAAAATAGGAGAATAGGTTTGGAGAATATATTTTGTTGTTAAATATCGTTAGTGCTTTAGTTTATGTTAATATCTTTAGATATAATATGTCTACAGATATTATTGAGTGATTTTTAGTATACAACTTTTACCCAAAATTCTTATACAAGTGTTAAGATACATTTAACGTGATTGTGTCTTCCTGGATTTTATTTCTGCTGTATTATATATTAAAGGGATTAATGCAGGAAAAACATAACTTAATTCAATTTTTTTATTGATTCAGATGACTGGTGGAAATATTTGTAGTATAGCAATCTGCAAAAATAATTCAAAAAATTCCAAAATGTATGGAAGGAATTTAATGTTTTTTACAGTTCCAAAAAATGTAAAAATTTAAAAGCAATGGATGAGCAAGTGTTATAGGAAGGATAAGTGGTCCCATTTTAATAAAAGAGTTTGTAGTATACACTTTCTCATGGAAGGTTATGAGGATGCTTTAAAAGCTAAACTATTATATATAAACATACAACCTAAAAAGCTGAAAAAAGATGGTAAGTGGGTATAGTCATTTAAATGCTTAGTAAAAATGTGGTAATTAACTGAGTTTGATTTTTATAATTTACAGTTATTTATTTACAACTTAAAAGGTATCTAGTTAATGGAATCATGTTTTAATATTTTTTATATTCTATTATATAATCCAGTAATGTAATCAGATGTTCCTTAAATATATCAAAGTTAAGGGAAAAACTACTAATTCTGATTTAGCTGAATCTCTTTTTCAGCATGGTTTACTTGTTTGGAGAAATTTATAATAATCCACTACATATGCATTATCCTCAATTCAAAATAATTTAAAAAATAGTAAATTGTATTCAACCCATTATTAATATAGTACATTAACATGTTTTAGTTACATGTTTACACAAGGAAGAATCTACTTCCAATTTAATATAGTAATGCTATTCATAATGTTTAGCTGCAATAATATTTTATGATTTCTGTAACTCTGTAAGTACTTATCTCCCACATTTTTTAAAGATTGAATGAAATAAATAGTTATTAAAAGTCTAAACGTATTATTTTTAGTATACACATATTAATATATTTACAATCATTGCTGCTTTCCGAGTTCATTTCAAGGAGTAAAGTGAATGAATTTGAATGTAGGATTCTCAGTGACGTCCTTCCCGCCATTAGATTCTCGACGCTGATTAGAGTAAAGTTACCAGACAACCTGTCTATTTGTAACAACCTTGACAACCTGTCTATTTTTAATAACCTTGTCATTGTCACCGCCCAACGTGATTAGTAGCGCCGTCGCCATTACGAACGGCTGGACTCATGCAATTCACTCTCCCCACAGTTTTTATTTCATTTACACTACTATTTGTGGTACATACTGTGTTTGACAGGAACGAGACTAGCAGTGCCACCAAACGGAAGGGTGCACAAATATAAAATGTGCGTGGTCCTTGACTCTCCTTGTGTGACTAGGTTTAATTTATCTGTGATTTTTGTTTTTATAACATAACCGTACTTTATATTATTTGTTTTTAAATTATAGCATGGACAATAACAATTTTTCTATTAATTTCTAAAATGAATCATGTTTGTTCGTTTAGGTAGATTTATAAAGAATACAAATTTAGTTAAACCACCAGTAATAATTACTAGACTGTACAATGATTTAGCAATTGAAGCAATTCCTGAAATATCCAAAACAACAATTAAGAAAGCCATGAAAACTAATAATTTTCAGTTTGAAGAAGGCTTTACTTGTTTTACTACCCCTTGTACATTGTGTCCTAAAATTAGTAAAGGTGCCAAATTGTATATTAACAAAACAACAGGTAAATCTAAATTTGCCATTATAAACTATTACCCATTTAATTCATTTATTTTTGTTGCAATTGTTTTCTTTTATTGTACATTAATAAAGTATTAAGGATTAGAGAGGTGTTTAAAAAGTAAGATTGTCTGAAAAATTGCAGTTAATAGAACTGCAGGTAGAAGTAATTAGAAGATACAATGGGTATATAAATTGTAATTACTTATATTTTGTTGTCTTAGGATGGTTTATGTGTACTGGTTGTAAAAAATCAGGTCAGTGGAATACATTAGAAACCTATTTCAATTTAAAAAAGAGCAAAAAGACAAAAATGAAAGATGAATCAATAGAGGAAGAAAAGGCCAATGAAAGAATTAAAAAAACATTGGAGGAAATAAGAAATTCAACCAGTGAAATTAAATCTTTAAGCGAAGAAGATTTGCATGAGGTTTTAAAGAAGTTCAAATTACCTGTAAGTATTTGTTTTAATAGATTACAGGCTTCTGATGAAAAACTTAGTCATAAAATAGATAAGTCCAATAGATTTTCTTGTTAAATTAAAACAATTCTATCATATATACTTTTTTATAAGAAAATCATTTGAGATCACCATATTTTTAGCATTTTGTATGAAAGTTATAATACACAGTTTCATTCTTAATTTGCCATAAAAAAATATAGACACAGTTGTGTGGACCTTTTCAACATGTATCTAAAATTATAACATAATATTCATTGCTGTGATAGAGGAGACAGTATTTAAGTAGTACAAAAAATAAGTTTTAGAAAAATATTGTATAGACAAAACATGATTTAATCACACAAAATCAAAAGTATGGCAAGACTTAAATATTAAAAGTTTACTACAGCATTTTAATGAGAGGCGTTTACCAAGCTAGAGGTTTTTACCACAGCCATTATATGCGAAAAATACTGACTTGTGCTTCTCGAAAGGCAGATATCACTTATTGGTTAAAGTAGACTGATGAAATACTTAATATATGTATATATAGTGCCAATGTATAAGAGTTTTTATATAAGATTTGCAGTCTATAGAATGGAAAATGAAAATAGTATTACTAAAAACTACTGTATCATTGCAAATTAAATCCTGTCAGGCAGATATGATGATATTTACATCTTTCAAGTCTATATGAACTATTTATATTTTAAAAACTTTTTTAGATAATTTCCAGTTCAACTTTTGAAACCTTAGACGTAAGATTAAATGAAAAACACACAGCCCTGTTTTTTCCATTAGAAAACATTGAGTCAGAAACTGTTGGTTACCGAAAAGTTAACTGTGGATTAAGTACAGATACTGTATTACCCGATCAAAATTATGGAGGGATTTTAACGGCCCGATTTCCAAAAAGTAAAGACACAGCAGTATTAGTTCCGAGTATTTCAGACTTTTTGGTTCTAGCAAACACAAAACTCAATGTAAATGTGGTTTGTTTACCTAATGGGGTGAATAATTTATCATTAAATGCTTTACCAAGTCTTGAAAGGTTTAAGAAGCTCATATTGTGGTTCGGAAGTGATAATAAGTCTTGGACTGCAGCTAGGAATTTTGCAAAGAAGTTGGGAGAGAAGAGGTGTCTACTTATTCGGTAAGTTTATCAGACTTTTTCTCAGCTGAGGGCCAACTGTAAATTGTTAAAAGCTGAAGTCTACACAAATCATACTTCTTTAACAGAATTATCACTAGAAAATAATTTGAAGGAATTTTGGTTGTTTGTGAATTCACTGAGGGAAAAGCCCTTCTTGCCCGCTGTGTTGAGGTATGGTGGTGTTGAATTCAGTCACGGACCAGATATTGTAAATCTTTTTGCAGAATATTTTTCTACAGTATATTCCACTCAAACATATGTCATACCCAGGGACTCACCTTTGCTTGGTGTTACTAACTTGACTGGTTTTAACATTACTATATCTGATATTTATTTAAAATTATCTGCCTTAAAATTATCTTATTGCCTCCCATATTTCTCAAGAACTGTTATTTTATATTATCCAGACCTCTTTTCACATTTTTAATCTATCGTTAAGTAAGGGTGACTTTCCAGAATGCTGGAAAAATAGTTTTTTAACACCTGTTTTTAAATCAGGATTTAATTCATTGGTGAATAATTACAGACCCATTAGTATAATAATTAGTGTAAAGCAAAGATATTTGTATGCTTTATGTGTGACTATATTGAAGCTTCACTTGAAACAACAGTTAGTATATCAACAATTTCGATTTCAAAATAGCATATCAACTGAATATAATATACTAGTGTCTGTTCACTTCGCAAGGAAGGCCTTGGAGAGAGGCTGTAGGTTATATGCATTATACACTGACTTCTTCAAAGCCTTTGATCAGGTCAAACACAATTAAACCTAAAAAAATGGGTGATGATGGTCAACATCTTGGATGGCTGAGAATATACTTGATTGACATAGTTCAGATGATGCATATCAGGATATTTGTTTCCAGTAAGATTAAGGTTCACTCAGATACCAGAGTTCTCATTTGGGCCCCTGTTATTTAACATATTCATCAATTATATACACTACTGCTTCCAAAACGTTTATCTCTTCTTGTTGTCGACAGTCTAAAGTTCTACACAATTATCAATAATACAAAAGATTGTGTTAATCTTCAACATAATCTTGATCAGTTGTATGGAGACTGGAGTTATGAAAGCTTCAATTGATATGTAGAACTATAAGTATACATCCATACAAATTAGATACATAGAATAGGTTAACAAATTGGTTGACAACAAATAATTTAAATTGATTTCAGAGTGGAAATGTTGAATTCAATAACATAAACTGCCACAAAGATCCAGAAAGTTAACCTTTTACTATTTTTAAACTACATTATTAGTCAGGTTTAAACATATTAAAATAATACATTAAAGTTTATTAGTAAAACTTACATATTTATAGAATGTAGACTCTTTTGATATTTCAGACCTACAGAAAAACAGCAGCTTCCCCATTTAGACCCAAACCAGGATTTCAAATCAATTATAGCCACAGCCCAGCCAGTTTGGCACAAATCTGTTACCACATTTTCCACATTAAGAGCGGATGTATTATCAGATCTTCAGAACATCGATAAAGTAATATTTTTTAAATAAAGATGATAATTCATTTACTTCGGAACTTTTTAGGTCCAAGGAGTTAAATGGAAGCGGTATCCTACTTTAAACAAAATTCTGAAGGGCCATAGAAGTGGTGAATTGACCATTTTTACTGGACCGACCGGTTCAGGGAAAACTACTTTTATTAGCGATTATTCTTTAGATCTGTCAATGCAAGGGGTAAGTGAATTCTTAACATATACGTATAATATTTTAATATTACAAGTACTAGTTTTTGCAGTTTATTGTCTCTATTAAAATAATACAACAATATGAACATAATTCATTACATCACTTGGAATATTTAAAACAATATCATTTAATATCACGTTACAATTTATAAATTTACTTCTTCATTTAGGTTAATACCTTGTGGGGTAGTTTCGAGATACGGAACGCAAGACTGGCAAAAACCATGCTACAGCAGTTGGCTGGTATTCCACTTGATGAACATTTACATTTATTCGATCATTGGGCAGACCAGTTCGAGAAGTTACCTATATATTTTATGACGTTTCACGGTCACCAGAGTATTAAAGTAGTAATGGAGGTAAGAGTAATATTTAATTACAGATAGTCTAAAATAAATAATACTGAGTTTAAATTCTGTCTACACAGGCATATACAGTATTTGTCCTCCTTCTAATAACTTCATTCCTGATATGATCGTTTTTGGATACACCAAAGATTTTCTTCTTCTTCAAGTTCCACTCCTATCGGAGTTTGGAAATCATTCTGGCAATTATAATTTTGTGTTGGTTACGCGCCTGAATAGTTCAATTGAACTTCATCCAAGAGATTTTACGTCTTTCAAGTTTCTTTTATCTTTGATTTTACCCTGCATTATATTCCTTAGTAGTTCGTATTTTTCACCTCTTGTGATGTGCCCCAAGTATTCCAATTTCCTGATTTTTATGGAATTTAAAACTTCGCATTGTTTTCCTAGTTGTTCGAGAACTTGTTCGTTTGTTTTGCGATCCGTCCATGATATTTTCAAAATACGTCGGTAACACCACATTTCTAGCTTTTTAATGTTGGATTTTTTAAGTGTCCAAGCTTCAACTCCATACAAAAGGGTAGAGAAAATATAACATCGAAGCATTCTTATCCGGAGCGATATATTGATATCGCGATTACAAAAAAGTTTTCTCATTCTATTAAAAGTTGACCGAGCAATTTCAATGCGGCCTCTTATTTCTTTCGTCTGATCAGTATCTTCTGTGATCCATGCTCCAAGGTATTTCGCTCTCCTTAGAAAATGTATTTCTACTACTTCTATTTTTCTATCCTTTTCCGTGATCTGCCAAACTGCTGCCCCATAAGTCATAATAGGCTCTACCAAGGTTCGATAGATTGTCATTTTTGTTTCTTGTCTAATATCTTTGGACCATAGTAAACAGTTTAGAATGTTCACCACTTTTTTCCTTGCTGCGTTCTGTTTTCGATGTCTCTTTTGGTAGTGCCTTCTTTAGATATTATAGATCCGAGATATTTATATTCATTGCATGTTTTGGTGTTTCTAATTTCTAACTTCGGATCTTCTTCATCATCTCCTATTTTAAGATACTCTATCTTTGATATATTCATATTCAGGCCCCATTTTTCATATTCTTTCTTTAGTATTCTCAACATGTAATCCACGTCTTCCTCTTCATTCGCTACAACTACCTGATCATTTGCGAAAAATAAAGTTGTTAGACATTTATCACCACTTTATCTATTCTCATTACTGATACTTGTTTCCTTCATAGCATTCCAGCACTTACCAGAGGCGGAGTTATACTGAGTTTATAATTTATTAATAATACTAGCACTGTGGCCTATACAAGGAGGGACCACAGATTGACTTAAGATAGAAAACTCATGAGCTTTAATTGGAAGAAGCGTGAAAATCTTCAAAAATAACCATTTTGAAACTTTTTTTACACATAAACTGACTTTTTTCATATCATTTAAGGCAATAGAACATGCGACATACGTCCACGACATAGCACACGTCATAATTGACAATCTCCAATTCATGATGGGCACCTCAGAAGACCAGAAACACATGGATAGATTCTGGAAGCAAGATCTAATCATAGGTTGTTTTAGAGAGTTTGCTACGCGGAAAAACTGCCATGTTACTTTAGTTATACATCCTCGAAAAGAACGAGATGCCGAAGACTTGACTACTAGTTCTATTTTTGGAGGAGCTAAAGCTTCACAAGAAGCCGATAACATTCTCATTATTCAAGATAAGCGACTTACTGCTCTTAGAGGAAAGAAATATTTACAAGTGAGTAAAAGAATATAAAATATATTGATAAGTACAGTGTTGGAAGTCCAAAAACAGATATATCTAGCAATAGGGTATACTACTTATCTACCAATCATTCATCATTCAAGTCTTCAATTTTGTTTTCAGTCATAGCTATACTTCATCTAATTTCATCTAATTTGTGTGTTCTTTTTTAGAATCACTTTGCCTAGTACACTGGCATTACAGCAACTAGACATATTTTATTATATACGCGTAGAAATAATATTTAAAGATTTCTATTAATGTTAACTTAAAGAAATACACAATAATATGTTTCATTTAATTTGTATAAATGCATTATAAAGCGTGTTTATGAAGAACATTTGTTCGGAACACACTGTAACTCAAATCGAACGAAGGTGATATTTTGGCATAAATTGGTAACACTTATTTGACAGTTGCGGTGTTGACACTTTATTGCGCCAATAAATCTGAATATAAAACGTCAATACGTTTTATTGTTGCGTCAATAAATCTGAAGAAAAATAAAAAAGCAATTGAAAATTAATTTGTAACAAAACATTTCAAAGTAAATACGTAATGAAAAAAGTGTTGTTTTTGTTTAAGTATTCCATTTTACATCTTTATACGATGCATACAAGCGGCTCAAATTGTTTTTAACAAGATTATTTTTTAACTCTTATTTTGTTTCTATTTATTTCCACTAAATATTAATTTGTTTTGTTGTATAATCCACTTTTGCAATAATTATGTGACCTATTTGATTTAAAATGGATTCAGATTTTTTTTTTATACTTTATGTCACCTTCGATCTCTGTTAATGATAATGACGTGCAACGGTAAGTGAATTAGATGGACTGTACTTTTAAAGTAGGACTGATGAGGCTCAGTGTTCGATATCACAGCACTCTTTTGCTGCTTGTTTTATAGGGATGGGTATAAATGCTGACTTCAGCCACTCTTGTGGTATTATTCCGGTATCGTACACCGTGTTGAATAAATCTGCCAATGTTCCAAGTTATCCTCTTCATTAGTTTTAACAGTTCTACAGGTATTTCATCTAATCCAGCTGCCTTATTGTCTTTAGAGTTTTAATAGCATATTTAATTTCATCTAACGTGATCTGTCTCTGTAAAGGATTTAATTCTTGTATTTTCTGCATTTCACCTCTTTCATCTTGGAAAAGTTCTCTAACGTATTAATCCCATCGTCTTACTCTGGCAAATCTATTAGTAGTACTCCGTTTTTGTCTTTTATGTGTCCTTGTTGTCTATTTCGACCCATTCCAGTCACTCCTCTTATTTTTTGTGCATATTTCTCATATCATATTTTGTTTCTAGTTATTCTATCTCTTTACATTGTTTCATCAAATAGATTTCCTCAGCTGTTTTGATTTTTTCCTTAATTATTCGTTGTATTTCTTTATACTTCTGTAGACCTTTTCCTTTATATTTCCTTCTTTCTTCCATCTGTAATAGTATTTCTTCTGTCATCCACTTTTCTAGCCTTCCTTTTTTAGCCTCTGACCTATGTTGTATCAAACTTTCTTGCGCTGATTTCAGTAATGTTTTTTTTATATTATACCACTTTTTATGTTTTTATTTTTATGTACTGTTTTCTGCACATTATTTTGCAATGAATTTTTTATTTCTTCGTTTTTTAGAATTTTTACATTCATTTTTGTTGTTGTTTTCTTAGTTCAATTCTTTTAAATTTTATTTTCACGTCAGCAACTAACGGATTGTGGTCTGAGTTAACATCTGCTCCAGAATAAATTTTAACTAAGGGTATAGAGTTTTTATATCTGCTATTTATATATAAACTCTATCTGGTTTCTGATAATATGGTTTTCTGTATGTGAAGGAGACGTTCATGAATATAGTCTTCTCTTAGGAAGCTGAAATTAAGTATTGGCAATTACCATATTCTTTTCTTGGCAGAATTCTATGAGCCTTTCTCCTCTCTCATTTCTAGTTCCTAATCCGAACTGTCCAACTATATTTTCAATTGTACCTACTCCAATTTTTGCATTAAAGTCTCCTAAAATGTAAGTAATATCTCTAGATTATATAATATATTTTCTAGATGTACCATATTTTTAAACTCTTATCTATTTTTCAGGTCGTCAAAAATAGATATAGTGGAGACTTGGGGATAATGCCATTAGATTTCGATAAAGATAGCTTGAGTTTTCAACAAAAGAAAACGAAGGAGAAAAAAGTGGAACTGGTCCAACCCTTATCGCAACCTGAAAGTGAAGCTTCTATACCAAAGATTTAAAGCATTTTATCTACTTAAAGTTTTACAAGATTGTTATCAATGTAGTGTGTGTAAATGGATTGTAAAGCTCTTAGCACGCACATTTTTTAATATCGTTTCAAATACAATAAACTATAGATATAATAATAAAACAATAAAATGATGTCTAAAAACAATTATTCAAATAGATTAAAATAAAAATAGACAGTTGGTCTATCTATCGTTTTTTGTTACGGTGAAATCAGTCATATAGAATTTTTCATATAAAAATGATTGCACGTCATTCAAGATTACGACGTCAGAACCCCACAGCGTTGCCAAAATATCAGAATAGTAAGTGAGGAATTTTTAAAATGTCAACCATTTGTCAAACTGTTGTATTAACAGTAAATACACTTAGTTTTAAGACTACTGCAACACACTAAAATACAAAAAAAAACATTTTAATACAAAATTATATATTCTAAATATTAAACTTACCTACTTTAAAGCATTAATAGTAAAAACGTCACGCCATTATTTCTTATTCAAAATCATCTATCTTATATGAAAAGACTATTTAGTTGTTTTGGCATAGCACAGTCACAATACACAACAATAATTAGTTTTTAAAGCTAATAATCTAAGTTTGATATGTATTTATACATACAATTTCTTAATGTATAATATATTATGATCAAATTGTGTAAGAAATCAAAACATAAGCAAAATTCTTACTCTAAAAAAGCGGCAACACTTTAAACAATTTTGCCACACTCTGAACTGTCATTAAAATTTGAAGTATTCCCGTATCAGTTGCGTACAATTGTCGAATCTATTTAATTAAAATTATTATTTTGTGGAATATTAGACTGAAAGAGTAATTTCATTAAATTTATATTATTAATAATAACAAAATATTTTTGGTTATTTAATCAATATAATTCTAAAATTCCCAATATAATGATGATTTAATTTTTCTAGTTATTATATCATGTTGACGCCTATGAAAGATCGAGCAGTTCCGTATGGGTTTCATATTATTAGCTGTGTTAGGAAAATTTGAATTTTAAGGTTGACGTTATGGAAATTTTAAATATAAGTGACGTCACTTTATATAAATTGTGACGTGCAACGTTTTTACTTTAAAAAATGGTATAGATAGATACAGGTCTTTTCCCCGTAAATCCGGGGAAATACCCCGCAATTCGGCAACAATTCGTTTTCGTGAACTGTTGCATAATTCAAAAAAAGGTAGAGAATGTCGGGAGTTATTAAATTACACCTTAAAAATCTGCAATTTTTTGTGGATTTAGTCCAAAAACGAAAGAAATATTAAATAACTATCAAAACTCTCATTTGAATGTTCCGTAGCCTTAGTTTAATATGATATTTTGGCCTTGATATTTTTTTTACTTAAGCCTCGCTCTAGATATTTGAGCTTTGCAATCCGAATACACATTATGTATAAATGTTGATTTTTTAATTTTATATTGGAAAAAATAAATTATATTTTTCTGCAACTGATAAATATTTATTTATTGCCTTCCAATATTTCCCAAAAGTCTTCAAATTGACTAATAATTTGACAAATTGAATTTTATAACAGTATAAGAAAACTGCGCAGCGATGTAGACTGTTCGATTCATTTTTGGATATTAATATGACATAATTGACTCCGTGTAAAACTGCAAGTCATTCCAAGTAGCAGTTGACTTTTTGGCAGTGGTTTTTTTGGAGTGCACGGGTGAACTACATCGTGTATCCTGAAGAAATAATATTCTTCGACGAAGGTTTAATATCGATGCAAATTCATCTACGGCTAGTCCAAATTCACCTTCAGTTTAAGAAAAGTCGTAAAAAGAGAAATCAGAGGAATGGTTCATCTCAAGAGAGTGTACTAGCTTATAAGGCCTATAATGACCTTTCGCCAGTAATTTATTTATTTACTTAATACCTGGGATAACCCCATTAACAGTTTAAATTGCAATATACAATATCACAATTAGGATTCAAAACTTTATACTTATAAATCAATATCAAACAATTTAAAAAATATAACAAGAACAAAAATTAACAATACCAAGATACATATCACAAAATAAGAGATATTTTTATGAGAAAAGGCAGCAAATATTTGATTTCACGCAAACAAATCCTATGTATCTCTTGATACGTATTTCGAACTAATAGGTCTCGTCAGAAGAGCTATTCATAGGGCTTCTCAACGTGAAAAATCAATATTTTCTGCCTTTTAAGAAGCAACAATAACATGGCTTCAATACGGACGCAGTAACGACATCTAATTAAACAATCGTAAAATAGTTTCGAAACACAATTCAGATTTCTGCTTTATAATCTGAGCCTTCTAAGAATTGCAAGGCAAACAGACGTTGATTTGATCCTGACATATCACGATCACGGTTCTTAAGGGAGGGACAAGATAATTGTTGTTTCAGTTTATAAATTTATAAGGTTTTATTGTTGTTCGGTTCCTTCCCGGGTTTTATTGACAAAACTACCCAATTATCACTTGGGCAAGATTAAACTAATAAAAGTGTGCTCGATATCTGCCTTTCATTTAATCAAAGTTCATTTATTCGAGCATTCAACCTTATTTCAACAAATTGTTATATTGTTTAATAGATTTCTGGAAGCCTCTATCTTTCCTTCTTTATGGAAAGAAAGTTATGTTGTTCCTATATTTAAAAATGGTCAGAAAGACAACATTGAAAATTATCGTAGCATTTGTGTACAATCTGCAATCCCTAAGCTCTTCGACTATCTTTGGGGCAAAGAAACTTTCTTGGTTATGTAAAGACTTAATATCTCAATTACAACATGGTTTTCATAGCAAAAAATCCACTGCAACTTGGTTGGTTTGCTATCAATCTAATATATTCTCATATGGAAGACCATAAACAGGTAGATGCATTATACACAGATTTTTCCAAAGCATTTGGTCGTGTAGATCACCAAATACTTTTGGGCAAATTAATAAATGTAGGTTTTCATGTCATATTTGTTGAATGAATTATAAACTCTATATCTGGAAGAAGTCAAGATAGGTTGTAATCATTCTGACAGTATCTCAGTAACATCTGGAGTTTCTCAAAGAAGCCACACTTTTCCACTTCTTTTTAATATCTTCGTCAACGACTTCACTTCCTGTTTCCTAAATAGCAAATTTCTAATGTTGGTAGAGGATTTGAATAGATATAGCTTAAAAGATCTGCCCTGTTACAATATGACTTAGACTGACTATAAAATTGGTGCAATCAGAACAAGCTCTCCTTACATGTAAAAAAATGTTAAGTTTTTCTCGTAAAGTCAATAGAATTGGAACAAGCTATACTATTAACAATCAGCCACTGCATTATGTTTCATCTATTCGGGTGTTATTTTCAATGATAAGCTTACTTGCTGTGACCACATATACCCTATTTCAATAAAGACATCTAAACTTCTTGGTTTCGTTACTGGGAATTGTAAGTATCTCTCCATTGATTCAATAAGATTATTTATTTATTTATTTATTTATATACGGCATCCATTTACTTACAATTTTTACAAAGTTACATCTTAAAAACAATATATTATTAAAATAACAATCACAAGTTTTAAAAAGTTACACCTTAACAACAATAAATTATTAAAATAACAAACACCTCAGAATAATACAAACATATAAGAATAATACAGATGTATAACCAACTTATTGTAAGATATTTTTTAGTTGTTTTTTGAACAAACTAATTTTGGAGTCAAAAATATCTATTTGTCTTGGCAAGCTATTAGCACTCCGGACCAATCGTGTAGTTGGTTCATTGGTACCATAATTAGTGTGGTGAAATGGCACCGAAAAGATTTCTGATTGTCTGTTGCTTCTACTAGGAACTTTAAGACTAACAAGCGATAAGAGTTGAGGACAATCTATAAAAGCATTGATAACTTTGTGTAAGAAACATAAATCCAACAATGTCCTCCTTGACTCAAGAGTTGGTAAGTTAAGACTATCTCTTACCCACTGATAGTCGTATTCCTCTCTCCTGTATCCACTCTTATAGGCTGCTACCCTCAAAAATTTATTCTGGACTCTTTCAATCTGTTGAATGTAACAGTGGTATGATGGGGACCATACAACTGATCCAAACTCAAGAATGGGCCTAACGAGACCACAATAAAGTCTTTTAAATGTAAATAAAGACAGATCCCCAGATGTGCGTTGGATAAATCCCAGCACTTTCATCGCTCTGTTTGTTACTTGGTTAATGTGGCTTGAGAATGACAGTTTGGTGTCTAACCAAATTCCCAAATCTAATACTTCATTTTTCGAGGCTAATGGCAAGTTATTTATGTAGTAAACAAATGTAATTGGATTTCTTTGCCTCGAGAATGTCATTTTATGACATTTGTTTATATTGAGTGACATTTTGTTTAAAGTGCACCAATCATAAAACGATTTAAGATCTTCCTGTAATATAACAGCATCATTCCAGGATTGAATTTTTCTAAACAGTTTTACATCGTCAGCAAACATAAGAACACTACAATTTTTGATTTGTTGTACTAAATCAACCAGAAACAAGCAAAACAAAACAGGGCCACAATGGGAGCCTTGTGGCACGCCTGATGGAACTGTTATTTCAATTGAAGTGTCACTTCCCAAGTTAACTGTCTGCGTACGGCCACTAACAAATTCTGTAATCCACTGAAGAAGGGGATCTAAAATACCCAAAGCTCTTAGTTTTTGTAAGAGGACCCCATGGTTTACCCGGTCAAATGCTTTGGAAAAGTCAGTATAGATTGAGTCAACCTGGCACCCCTCTTCAAAGCTGTTATATATATGATTGACATATAAAACCAGGTTGGTATCTGTTGACCTCCCTCTCATAAAGCCAAATTGTTCAGGATTAAAAATGCCTCTATAACTCCATGTCAGTTTCTTACTAACCAAACAATCAAGCAACTTGGGCAGCTCCGACTGATTACAGACAGCTCGATAGTTTGATATATCGTTCCTTGCACCCGATTTAAAAATCGGCTTTAAAAAACTTTTCTTCCAGAGACTGGGAAAGCTACCAGTACCAAGTGATCTGTTAAAAATAAACAAAATTGGTTTTGTAAGTACACATATACATTTTTTCAGAAAATAGGCTGGGATTCCATCCGGTCCTGCACATAATCTGTTTTTACAACTTGCAATAGTATCATACACCTCAGTTGCTGTAAGTATTATAGAACTCAAACAAATAGAACTGTCCAAATTAAAAAAAGGTAAAGTATCTTTTTGTTCATCTGAGTAGACTGATGAGAAATATTCTGCGAACATATTGGCAGAGTCCTTCATATTTAAGCCAACCCTATCCTTATAGACCATTCTGGATGGTATATTATACCCATTTCTTTTGCTTTTAATATAAGACCAAAAATATTTTGGATTATCGGAAATGTTATTTTGTATCCCATCTAAATACTGTTTCTGACAGTCTGCTCTTAAAATTTCACACTGGTTTCTTAAATCCACAAAACGGTCATAATCATCTTGCCTACCACTAATTTTAAATTGTTTGTGGGCCTGTTTTTTACATATAATTAGGTTACGCAGCTCTGACGAGAACCAAGAAGGAAAGGTAGAGGTTTTATATTTCTTTAGTGGAACAAAGTGTTCTATCAGCGAGTAAATTATATCATAAAAAATGACCACCATACTATCAACTGTACCATTAAGAAACATTACAAACATGATTAGCTGCTTAGTTAGAACTTTTTTGGAATACTGTTTAGTTATTTGGTCACCCTATTAACAGATCAATATTGATAACATAGAAAGGGTCCAGCATAAATTTTTGAGATATTGTGCTTACCATGTCCACAATATCGAAAATCATGGTTATTCCTGTATCAAACAATAATTATCTTTATTAATTGCATGACATGTTATGGATCAAGAACTGTAGTGATTTGTCAGGAGCTATATATAAGATTATACATACATTGTCCAAACCTATTAAGCCAGATTAACTTTAATGTTCCCCATCAAGCTCTATGTTTTTAATATTTCTTTCCACAGAACAACCTATGGTATTCACAACCCATTGGATACACAGGGGTATTAAAAATGTTCTCGATTTTGATATTTAAATTAGTTAAAAATATCTCTCGCTTTGTGATATGTATATTGGGATTGTTGAATTTTGTTCTTTTTTAAATTGATTTTATATTGTAATAATTTAAAGTTTTGAATCCTGTTATTGTAATTTAAAGTGTTAATGGTGTTATCCAATGACTATCAATTGAGATGGTTTTGGAGTCTAAACCAGAGTATCTACGTGAAAAGCAAAACAAACTCCTGGTTCAGAATACATAAAGATCGACAAAAAAAAAACAGTAAAAGGTTATTACTGAAGCAACCTAGAGTTTCTTGAGCATATGTATGTTAAGATTAATCTTTTGAAGATGTGTTAATGGTGTTATCCAATGACTATCAATTGAGATGGTTTTGGAGTCTAAACCAGAGTATCTACGTGAAAAGCAAAACAAACTCCTGGTTCAGAATACATAAAGATCGACAAAAAAAAAAACAGTAAAAGGTTATTACTGAAGCAACCTAGAGTTTCTTGAGCATATGTATGTTAAGATTAATCTTTTGAAGATAGTAATATTTCCGTTATACTGGTAACATTAAAACAAAAGTAAACTAAACAGTTTTTTTATTTGTTCTTATACAAAAAAATTAATAAATCTACGTTGATTTCTTAACTGGTTTAGTACCTTCACGGAATCCATTGCGGAAACGCCTGCGTACAATTTTAAGATGACGGAGACGGCCAGTTCCGGTGGTCTTCCTCCTCTTGGCTTTGATGGACCAGTTGTAGGAACGTAGTTTTGCAGATGGGTAGCCACATTGAGCACACTGTGACTTTTGGATGTGGTATGAAGATCTACCACACCTCCTGCATAGGGTGTGGGTCTTATTGCGACGTTTACCAAAACTTGAGGTACCTTTGGTCATTTTGACCTACCTGGAACAATGTTATTATGTAAATCTCATAAAGAATTAAATTCAAATGTAAAATATTACCTAATCGTATTATAGTATGAGCTTTGTTCAAAATGGAACTAACCAATATTTTTGTTTGAAGTTACCAATTTATTTACATACTACAGGTTACAAATGTAAGAAAGGTATACAACAATTTAATAAACAGACACAATGGAAACAAAGCACAAATATGAAAACAACAAAAGCTGAATTACTGTTAATTTTGATCTGGATTACTGTAAAAGTAACCTAAGTATTATATGTGTGCATTGGAAAGTTTAAGGTACATTCTTTGTAACAGCATTATTAATTGCATGACATGTTATGGATTTCACAATAAGTAGGGACTAATAAATGGTATTTTATATTTTGATATCTGTTATTAACCTAACTTTATTAAATATAAGTGGAATCATCAATTCTTATTCATTTTACGTCGATATTTATTATTCTTTAATCGAAAAGGCGATAATGATTTGAAACTACCGCCATACGACAATTATCCAATCAGAAATTAATGTGCACGTTTCAACGAAAATGGCTGTCGATGAGAGAAGCACGTTACTTTTGTGTTAAAAAATAAAATTTAAACGTCGGATTTAAGGAGTTATGTGAAATTTGTGACAGAAAAGCAGACTAAAATGAAGTTCTTAAATGTTTTAGTGCTCGTTTTCGTGATAATGAGTAATTCGCACGCCGAGAACAAACAACCTACAATTTTAGTGTCAATATTGGTTAGAAACAAAGCTCATACTTTACCTTATTTTTTATCGAATTTTGAGTCTTTAAATTACCCCAAGGACCGAATGGCTTTGTGGTAAGTTATTTATTTATTAAGGAAAACGTGTTGTAGTCTCTATAACCTTACCTATGCAAACGTGTGTTAAGTTAAAAAGGAAAAGGAAGGACAGGAAAGGATAGCGACATAAATGACATTTGCTTGACGTGTTTGCCATATGTCCTGAAACAGTATGACCAACATGACCGTGTTCCGTATTTATAAATTTCTGTCTATGATTCTCAAATTAAAAAAAAACTTAGACCAATCGTTAATTTGAAGGGCGTATTTTGAAAAAAAAAAAAATCATAATAAATATTTTTAGAATTGATTTTAAAATCCAAGTCATCTGTTGCAATTTTTAAGAACTCTACCAAATATTTTCAGTCTGATGCATGTATTTTATGTTGTCTATCGAAACTTTCACCTTTACATCAAAAATTGTTTTTTTGAGTTATGTGTAAAGTAGATTCTTCTTTTCTTTTTATATTATTATATTATGACATTTTAATTTTTAATCTTATTAAATATTCAAAAGAAAGGTATAGTATTTCTTTTGCTTTTGATGCTTCCATCGGATATTGGAAATAGGACTGGTCCACATTCCACATTTATGATAATATCATCTGACCCAAAACCTCATTCTACTGGCGTAGTCAAACCATTCTTTCAATTTTCGCATCCATGATGTATTTCTAAGGTCCAGATTCCTTCTCCGATTTTGTTTTCAGTATTCACCAGTCAGCTCAAAAAAGTAGGTTTATTATTAAAATTGTTGATTGACATGATGAGCTGCGCCAAATATAGACAACTTATAGTTCGTTGGTACTATGCTGAGTTAAGATCTTGATTAATTAATTCAGATTTCTATTAGCCCCTGCACTTTTATTTATTTTATTTTATAGTTTTTTTGTTATTTCTTTTAGTTACCTTTCTGACGTACCCCTTTAACTTCAATGGATTCTTAGTTTTATCTTCATCCAGTAACTTAAAGTCATTATCATTTAATATTGCAATAAAACACTTTTTTCACGTATTTATGATTTCTGATTGTCCTCTCACCATATTTATGTCAATAATAAAACATATTATGGAGTAAAAATCAATCGTATATCATCTTCACCTTCATGACTTAATTTTTATCTACAAGTTTATTTTGTTTTAGGATTCGAAGTGATCACAACACAGACAATAGTTTAGAAATCATTCGGCAGTGGATATCTTCTGTTAAATTTAAATACCATTCAATTAATACAGAATTTATCGAAGATGGAACTCAATATCCAGGTGAACATGGGCCTGCACATTGGACAAATGAGAGATTCAATCATATTATTAATTTACGAGAATCTGCTCTTGAATTTGCGAAAAACATTTGGGCAGATTTTTTGTTGGTAAGTCATTATAAAATATTTTTTGTCCAATCTTATATTAGTAAGAATTCTACAATGGAATAATTGTTTGCCTTACAAATATATTCACATTAACACATTTCACATGTGTTTACTAATTGACTTATATAAAGGCAGATTAAGGTTTTCTCTGTCAATAAAGTATATTAACATATTTTACTAACATTTTATTAGATACACAGCTCTGTACAGAGCTGTGTATCTAATAATGTGTGGCCGAAAATCGTTTAAAATTTTCGGCCACCTTGCCTTCAAATGATAATGGATTTGGTAACCTTGCTTCTATGATTTTCGTTTAATTTTCACTAGACTGCGCCAAGCGATAATATTTCATTGTGTTTAATACATTTATTTAAACATACTTTTTAACAAGTCTCCAAGAATCCACAATATCCAAAACCCATGTTCTATATCTGACAAGTAATGACATCTGACGTGACAACGAGTCTCCATACATTGTGCCTAGAGCCCCGTGACCGTAATCATAACCTACTGATATGACAATAAGATGATAAATCCGCTTTAAAAGTAAACAAATTTGCTATTCGTTGTGTTTCTCCAGCACTTTTTGGTTGGGTTAAAATGAGTTCAACATCTTCTTTTGTAATTGTGGCAGAATCTGTAACTGTAGGAAATGAAAACTGTATTCCGTGACGCCTTAGAAAATTTACATTGTATTCTTGATACACGTACATCATTTATTAAACTTAAAAAGTTTCTTTGTTGTCGGGATATAAGGTTAGAACTACGCCTGAGAATGCTTCGATGTTACGTGTTCTCTACTCTTCTTTATGGTCTGGAAGCTTGGACACTAAAACAAGTTCATCTGAATAAGCTGGCCGCCTTTGAATTTTGGTGTTACAGAAGAATCCTACGAATATCATGGATTCAAAGAATGTCAAACATGAAAGTGACTAGAAGGATAGGAAATGAGGCGGAAATAATATTAACTATTAAAAGACGAAAACTTGAGTACTTGGGACATGTGATGAGAGGGCAAAAATACGCATTATTACAACTTATTATGCAGGGCAAAATCCGAGGAAAGCGAAATGTGGGAAGACGAAGAATATCCTGGCTTAAGAACTTAAGGGAATGGTTTGAATGCAGTAGTGCAGAACTTTTTAGAGCGGCAGTGAACAGAGTCCGCATAGCCATGATGATTTCAAACCTTCGATAGAAGATGGAACTTAAAGAAGAAGAAGAATTCTTGACCAGAAGAAAAACTTCTGTAACTTGTGCAACATAAAATTTTGAAGTTTTCTTTGTTTGAAACCCCACGAGAACAAATGAATTCACTTCCACCATTCGTGAGGATATGTCTTTGTCAGAAATTTTATGTACTTCTGAAAATAGACTGACATCGTCGGAAACCACAACATCAGACAATTCAATGTCACTGTTACTGTCATCACTGCATTACTTCTATTCGACTTGTTTGAACTATCAATTTTTCTTTTTACTGTTGTCTTAGTTCTCTTCACTCTACTTTGCCATATATTCTTTCTGCTGTTTCCGCTTCTATTCTTTTATAAATTGGTGTATCAGTTAAAATTTCAGTAGCCTTCTTTTTCCTTTTTTTATGGCAATAAGGTAATGTCCTTGAAAGTTTCCACCGCTTCATAAGAAACAGTTTTTGTTTATTATTTTGTTTAGTTATTTGGTTGTTTTTCTTCTTGAGGTATGTTTGGCATGTTTGCAAAGAAAGCATGTGGATAAGCGTCGCTCATAATCTCTGCTATGTCTTAAATCCTCTTTTAGGATTTTTCAATAACCAATTTTGACAACCATGTGAGTAATATTTCTTCGGAGGATCAAATACAGCTTTATCTAGTGGCTGAAGGCGATGACTAGTATGTGACGGAGAAGTCAACAAGATTATATTATTTTTTTTTGCAAAATTAATAGATGCTAAACAAACATGGCTCTCATGGTTGTCCATGATTAGTAAAATGGGAGATTCCTTTGTAGGATTAGAATGTTTCTGCTGTCATCCATCCAGATGGTGCAGGACAGTCCTGGGAGCCTGAAGGTGCGTTTTTAACCATATAATCTTAAAAACATTTCTAGAAAACACTAAAAATGGCGGAATCGAATTATCTATAGCGTTTATTGCATTGCACATGGTTACCAAAGTGCCTCTTTTATTTGAAACTATATGGCTTACTTGTTTCTATCCCTGTCTTCTATACCAAAACAAAAAAAAAAAAACGGAAGTCAGAATAGACGGACAACTTCGATAGAAGAAGTATCGTAAGACCGCACAAAAGTTGGAGTGACAACCTTCCATAGAGGTATTAATCCGCCAATGACCGAAAAGAATTGTTTATAAAGGGGAAGAAGAAGTTTAATTAATTATATTACTCACTATATATTTAACAAGCTTAGTACAGTAACAGTATATACATATTTATAACAATAATTGTACTATGAATTATTAAAAATACATCTACAAATTTTAAATTCTAATATATATTACAGTACATCATATAAATATAATTTTGTTAGTGAGGGAAACAATCTTTTATAAGAACACATTTTCCTTGTTCTCTACTTAGGATGTAATTGTCGTTACAATAACAGCCATCAACACACTTTGTTCCGCAGTGTGCGAATTGACGAGCGGTGCACGTTGGTATACACGGAAAATCACAACCAAAGTGAGCATTGGGATCTTCGCAAGAGTCTGAAACAACAAAAAATAATATTAAAAGGTAAAACCATGTACAGTACATTAACTTTTAAATTAGATATACGCAATATAAATGACAACACTGCGCGCCGTCGACTTTTCACGAACCTCCGTTGCTCTGTCACCAATAATTTGTCATTATACTGTGGTTGTTTAAAGCAATAACATCGTAGATTTTTAATTTTATTTGTAAACAACATGTCTGTTTATACGCCGGCAGAAAAGGTTCAAGTAATAAAAGGTTTTTATGGTGGTAATTCTGGACAAGAGTGTTTAGATTTTTTTTCTGTGTTTTTTGAGGGGAGACCAATTCCTTGCGTATAATCAGTTCATAATATTGTTAAAAATTTTAAGAGTTGTTATTGCCTCAAAAATCGCAGAAAATGTCACGCCCAAGTAGTGTTACCAGAAAAAGTTAAGGAAAGAGAATACCGGTATACACAAATTTGTACAACAATCGAGGTAGATTCAATACGTTCAAGTAGAAGCATTGCTATGAAGTTAGATATTAGCAATGTTACTGTAACGAAAGTGTGGAAAAAACACGGTTACAAAAATTTTAAATATTCGAAAACGCAGCAGCTTTATTCAGACGACTACTTTCGAAGAATGGAGTTTTGTAAAAATCTAATAACGAAGGCTAATGATGAACCCAATTTTAATAAAAATATTTTATATACTGATGAATCTTCTGTTTCGTTAGTAGGGAGATACAATCCTTTCATTACGAGGTATTGGGCGCGAGAAAGTTTACCGAACTCAACGTTCTCAAAAAGTTAAGACCACATAATAAATCCATTTTGTATTGAGGGTAACTTCAATAGTAGAATATACCTCGATTTGTTACAGAATCACGTTCTTCCCGCTATTCCCAAGCTTCGTGATGTATATCTGGAGAATGTTTGGTTCTTTTAAGACGGCTGTTCAGTTCACACAATGCTTTTATAATTAGGGAGTACTTAAACAAAACTTTCCCGAATCGAGCTATCAGTGGAACAGACCTGCGAGATTTCCAGATCTTACACACATGGACTTCTTTTTTTTGGGACATTTAAAAAGCATCATCTACGATCATCCTGAGGCTACAGCCCAAAATTTGGACCAATTAAGAAACTAAATAAGAGCAGAATTCTATTACACCAGAAACTCTTACATCTGTACGCAGAAGTTTTTATGATAGATTGAGATACTGTTCAATCGTAGAAGGTCAAATATTTGAATCATTTCTGTAGAACATGAAGAATTATTTCTTATTTTATTATGATTTATAATAAGAGTATATTTTTTGTTTTATATTTAAAAAAAATGCGCTTCTATTCTTAATTCAACCACACAAAAAATTGTTCACGCTATTAAAAACCGATACAAATGCACCGTCTTATAATGGTCAGTGTATTTTTTGAGTTTATGTTATAAGCAATAAACTTGGTCTACGTAAGCAAAACAAAAATCAACGGACGGATATGAGAATTTACCGGAAATGCGAGGAACAAATTGCGCTTAATCAGTTTGGATTTGTGAACGCCGTTGGTACGAGTGAAGCTTTATTTAGCGTGCAGGTATTATTTCAGAAATGTAGAGATATCAGCTGTAATAGTTTTGCATGCCTGATTGACTACAAGAAGGCCGATAGAGTCAGGCATGAACAAATGATGGAAGTGCTGAAGAGGATAGATATTGATGGAAGAGATCTAAAAATAATAGCTAACCTGTATTGGAATCATTCAGCGGTGCTCCGAATAGATGGAGAATATACAGATGAGGTCAAAATCTTAAGGGGAGTGAGGCAGGGGTGCATAATTTCACAACCGATATTCAATCTGTACTCGGAGCACATTTTCGAGGAGGCTTTAAAAGATATTTGAAATGGGGTTGAATGCTCGAATAAATGAACTTTGAAAATAAGGCTATTATCGAGCACAAGTTAATTAAATCTAGCCCAAGTACTTTCGCTTAAAATAGCATCTTAAAGGGCATTTCGTCAAATAGTTCTACGCTTGCCGGATAGTTTACATTTGACGAAATGCCCCTGAAGATGCTATTTTAAGCGAAAGTACTTGGGCTAGATTTAATTAACTTGTGCTCGATAATAGCCTTATTTTCAAAGTTAAAAGATATTGATGAAGGCATCTCAATAAATGGAGTCAAGCTCAATAACCTGCGGATTTAGATCATACCATAGTGTTTTCCAATACCATAGGAGGGCTGCAAAACTTAATGAACAAAATAACGGAAACAAGTAGAGCATATTTACTGTATATAAACACCAGCAAAACCAAGCTAATGATCATCAGCAAGGAAAACATAACTGGAGCAAATCTATATGTGAACCAAATGAGAATTGAACGTGTCTCACAGTACAACTATTTGGGAACTATAATCAATGAGTCGTGAGACAATACCCAACAGATTAAATGTCACATCGGAAAGGCAAAAAGTGCATTCTTGATTATGAGTGCTGTGTCAAGAGCCATGACCTCACCCTAGAAACAAAAATAAGGCTCCTTAAATGTTACGTGTACTCAGTGCTTATGTATGGAGTAGAAACGTGGACATTAAAAGCGGAAACTCTTAAAACTTTAGGCTTTTGAGCTATGGTTATAGAGGATTCTGAAGATACTATGAACAGACAAAGTCACCAACGAAGAAGTACTGCAGAGGATGAACCCAACCGCGGATTTGGTCAACAACGTGAAGGGCCGTAAGCTGCAGTACTTTCAAAGTCAAGTATCTAGTGAGATAATTCAAACCGCAGACACAGATCATCGAAGATAATAGAGGAAATACCATAACAAACCCAAACGGTATCGCAGAAGTGTGGAAACAATATTGCGAAATACTATTTTCTAACAACGATACAGATAATAATACAAAGAAAAGAAGTTATGAAAAAGAACTTCAAATATTGAAATCAGAAATTGAGGCGGCAATTCAAAAGCTAAAATTTAGAAGAGCAGAATGAAAAGATGAAATAACAGCCGAAAAACTCAAATAAATGGGAGAATTAGGGTCCAAAGTAATGCTTAGAATTTGCAATGAGATCTGGAATATCGAAAAGTGGCCAAATGACTGCGGCAAACTAACTTTTATTTATTTCCATGTATAAAAAAGGTTCACCGACAGATTACAGTAATTACCGTACAGTAGCATTGATATCACACGCGAGCAAAGTACTTCTAACCATCATCAATGAAAGACTAAAATCAATTCTCTTAGGTACCACAAATTCCCCAAGAACAATACGGATTCATCCCAGGTAGACGAACAAGAGAACATATTCTTAATATTCGTCAAATTATTTAAAAATCTCGAGAGTTTCACATAGGAACATATATACGTTTTGTTGACTATTCCAAGGCGGCCTTCCATACCATAAAATGAGATAAAATGTGGCATATAAGAGAAATGAGTACCCCAGAACATCTAATCTATTTATTACCAAAACTATATGTAAATAATACTGTTAATGTAAAAGTTAATATTGTGGTTTCGAAAAACTTCAAATTAAAATCTGGAGTTCGACAGGGATGCATAATATCATGAATAGGCTAGGCACGGTGAGTACGGAATATCGGTTAAAAATAAATATGCAGAAAACCAAAGTGATGGTCATCGATAGAATCAGAAACAACCAGACAGAGATAAGAAACATGGCAGGTTTCGAAGTGGTCAGGCAATTTAATTACTTAGGCTTCGTTATTACTAACAGTGGAGGATGCGAAGATGAGATACGTCGACGCATCACATTGGCCAGACTGGCAACAGCCAAACACACAAAAATTTGGAAGAAACTGACATCTCAAAAAACACAAAACTACGTCTTCTTCGACCATTGATATTTCCTATCGCCACCTATGCTTTAGAAACTTGGACAATAAAAAAAGCTGATTCAAAGCGTATAATGGCGTTTGAAGTGGGGGTCTATATAAAAGATAGTCTAGGCAAAAGTATATTTTTGAGGTATGATTTAAAAAAAGAGGTTTTTTAAATTTTCTTTTATAGCTAGGTTAATTTTAACACCGAGATCGTATTCAGCGGAAAATTTTACATAGAAAACGTATTTTTGAATATTTTTTTGAGCATCTAGAGCCCGGCATGCAGAAAAAAATGGTGAAATACGGAAAAAAAATTACCGAGAAATATGTAATTTCATTACCCATATAGACCACTATTTTGGACCTAGAAGGTTGAAAATTTAGTAAATCATCATAGATATTTTATAGTGCAGAATACGTCTGTAAAATTGCATCCAAAACAAGAAGAGTCACCTAACTATGCATACTTGGTGTGGGATTACCCCCTGTAGAAACAGACAAGGGAAACTCATTGGAAAACTAAATAATAATAACTGAAGTATTAGTTCAATATTTGAAAGATATTTATTAGAACTTAAGGTTAACAAGAAAATCCAATAAACCTTTGGGAAAATTCAAAAAAATATTAAAAAATAAAACAGCTCTAGACACTCACCTGTTTTATTATACGGCATGGCTGTATTGACTACAAAAAGGAAGCAAAACATAGCAACTGTTATGAATTTCATTGTGAAATAGCAATAATAGTCAAGTTAAGAACTATCTGAATCACTAGAGATTTAATATTGGTTTGAAAATTATATTTTCAAATCCGTATATATATCGTTCGTATACATATAAAATACTTCTAAAATATTAAATACTTCTAAAAATTCTACTAAAATATTTTATATACGAACGTAGGTGTTAATACGTAAATAAAATTTTTCATGTCATTTTTAATTATATGAATAATGTTATTTATTTTAAAAACAATATATTATGATTGATACAGAAGAAGAGTATAATAAAAAAGGAATATTTTGCTACATACCATACAATATATCGCGACCAATTATTCTGCCACAACAGTTCCATGTTATCAATTCATCCATTTACAACTGTGATTTTATTTCGGACGTGTACGAATTCAGCACTTTATAGCCCCCCCATAAAATTGTTAGACCCTTTGAGATATAGTAAACTGATCACCGGCATCCTTTGGAGATAACTAAACTCATCACCGCAGATAGGTAAACTGATCACCAGCATTTTTGTCCGAAGATTCTGGTTTCTAATGCAGAAGATTGCTTGTTACCTATTTCACTTCTCGTTTATGTGGTCATTTATTAATAATTTCAGAAATTATTTTAAGCACATTGCTTTAAATTTGGATTTGAATTGATTGGAAAAATGGAAATGAAAGGATTCGCCTGGATTTGTGGTGAAATGTATATGGCTAGACTGGGATGCCCATACAGTTAGAGTAAAAACAGACTCACTATTTATGTAGTTCTCTGCCATATAATCGGCCATTTTCATAAATGAAGGCAGGTTAGGGATATCCGCATGAAATCGTTAATAAAACAATCGCTGACTCCAAAAATGGCTAGCCAAATAAGTGATGCAGCCACTTGCCGTTATAAAGTAAATTACTGAGAAATCACTAGAGTAAACTAGACCAACATTTCTGTGTCTGATTGACCTAAAGAAAGCGTTTGACAGAGTAAGACTCAAAGATGTAATCCATCTTCTGTATAATAGAGAAGTTCCCCTAAATATTATAAAAACTATCGAAAACATCTACCAAAACAACAAAATGGAAGTCAGAATAGAGGGACAATTTACAAAACCTATAAAAATAGGCAGCGGAATAAGACAAGGGGATTCATTGAGCCCCATGCCCTTCAATTTGATCATGGATAAAATCATCAAACCCATTAACAAAGGAAGAGGATACAGAATGGGAAACAAAGAAATAAAAATACTCTGTTACGCAGCCGATGCAATATTGATAGCCCAAGAGATAGTCTGCAAAGACTGGTTCACAGATTTAAAATAAGAGCAAAAGAATTTATTATGACAATTTCATTTTAGAAAATTAAAACAATAATAGTAGGCAAGGAACCAAGCAGATAAAATAGAAATTTATCGCATCAGTGTTGAATAAGTAATGGAAATAAAATACCAGGGAATTACACTGTCTAGCTATGGAGACCTGGATAAAGAAGTGAGTGATCAAATACTTAAAGCAAATATACTAGTAAATAGGATACCTTAATAACACTATATGGCGAAACAGACACATTAACACTAAGATGAAGTCAAGAATTTATAAAGCCAGTGTAAGACCAACAATGACATATACCTCAGAAATAAGACCCGACACAACCACAATGCAAAGGCTACTGGAAACGGCAAAGATCACAGTACCGAGAAGAATTACAGGAAATACGCTGAGGGATCGTTAGAGAAGTAAGGACATTAGAAGAAATGTAACGTACAGAGTATTAATGAATGGACACAAACTAGAAAAAAAGAATGAAATAACCATATAAACAGAATGGAGGAGACAAGTGTCGTTAAAATAGCAAGAGCTAAATCACCAATCGACAGAAGAAGTATCGGACGACCACGAAAAAGATGGAGTGACAGCCTTCCATAGAGGTATTAATCCGCTAAGAACAAGCAGAATTGCTTGTTCTTAGGAACGGCAAAGAGGAAGAAAAAGAAGTTTAATCAATTTTATTACCCACTATATATATATAACAAGCTTAGTACAGTAATAGTATATACATAAGTATAACAATAATTTTATTAAATTAGCAATTAAAGTAAACTATATACCCAAGCTTAATCAAGCCATTCAGAGCGGTGCTGGGAATAATTATTTTCCACTATGCACCAACAATTTACCCATATAAATTACCATCATTCTTGTACTCATTGCGTCGAGTAAGGACGATAAATATACGAAAGAAGGTTGCGTTTCGATTTAATTTGAGTCTCTTACCACTCTCTGTCACGTGTTTCTGGGTCTACCCGTCATCAGACGATTTATATGGGTAAATTGTTGGTACATAGTGGAATATAATTATTCCCAGCATCGCTCTACTTTAATTGCTATCGACGTATTTAACTTCATCTTTCCTCACTAGAGGTCTCTAGTAGCATACTCTGGTAGTTATTTTCCTGTAATTGCCAGAGTGGTCGGTGCGTTTTGATTTGGTATGAGTCTTCTTACAAACTCCTTCTGATGACGGGTAGACCCAGAAACACGTGTAAGAGAATGGTAAGAGACTCAAATTAAATTGAAACGCAACGTTCTTTCGAATAATTTTATTATTCTATGAATTATTAAAAATACGTCTACAAGTTTTAAATTCTAATATATATTACAGTACATAATATAAATATAATTGTTAGTGAGGGAAGCAATCTTTTATAAGAACACATTTTCCTTGTTCTCTACTAAGGATGTAATTGTCGTTACAATAACAACCATCAACACACTTTGTTCCGCAGTATGCGAATTGACGAACGTGGCACGTTGGTATACACGGAAATTCACAACCAAAGTGAGCATTGGGATCTTCGCAAGATTCTGAAATAACAAAAAATAATGTTAAAAGGTAAAACCATATACAGTATATTAAGTTTTAAATTAGACATACACAATATAAATGGCAACACTGTGCAAAAACTGGACGAAAAAATTTGTGATGAAAAGGCCAATCAGTTGTTAAAAAATCGTATTAAAATGTACTATCTTGTGTAAAATGTTATTGGGAATCTAAATCTGTGTCCATAATGACATTTGGGTTGGAAAAAATAATGAGAAATTGCAGAAAACTGTCAAAAAGACGTAAAATTTCGGAAAAATTAGGAATTAGGTCTTTCAAGTGAATGTAATATCATTTAATCCTCTGATGTAAGAGCTGGGCTTATTTACACCTTACAGTATATACAGGGGGTCCTTAAGTAATTGTACAAAAAGAAACCGTAGATTCTACATTTTAAAATATTACTATTTAAGCCAAATTGCTTTAATAAAATGTTGATATTAAGAAAGATACAGGGTGTTAAAGTGGAAATTTCAAATTTTAATTTTCGCTATAACTTTTATCTTTGCATTTATATATAAAAATTTATAACTGGATACTATTGAGCATGAGGAGTTATATTTTGATGCATACTTTAATGTAGTTGATAGAGGGCGCCACGTATGCCACGTATACCACAGTGTTTGTGATAAAAAATATTAAAGATACATTATTTTAGCAAAAAAAGATATACTTGTTAATAACTTTAAAACTCAACAGTTTTCGAGATAATCGCATTTAACAAAATCAACTACATAATTCAGATTTAACGCAATTACTCAAGGCAACGAAAGAAAATTATACAAAATAATTCTGAATTTAGGTATAAAATATCTTTAATAAAGTTAATAGTTAATGAAATAATAAATGAAATAAATATATCAGCAGAATAGTTATTAGTAGGATTTGACAAAATAACAGAATAACTGGATTTCATAACAAACATTTTACGTTTTGTATTAAATTAAAGTCATAATTAAAATATTTTATTTATAAACCAAATTAGGAAATAGTTAAACTAAATAACATTAAATTTTTGTCAAAGTAAGTGTTCGATATGTCCACCATTTTCTTTAATTCATTTGTCAATACATTTCATAAAAGATCGTCTCATATTAAATAGTATTATTGGCTCTAAAGAAACTGCTGCAGTATTTATAATAGCTATTAAAAATATAATAAATATGATATAATAATAAACAATTCGTTTGATATTTTTATGAATTAAATAATTATAATATCTCACCACATGCCCAAAGAATATGACTACCACGAACAATCCAACGTTCAGGAAAGTTGTATTTAATTAGGTTCTCACTGCCCTTTCTCTATAATGTGGTGGTGTACCATCTTGCATAAACCACATTTTACAATTATAATTTCTGATGTTTAATAGTGCCCAGTTATGAAGTTTTATACATAAATGTTTACAAACATAAAAGTTGTGGCGAAAATTAAAATTTGAAAATTTCACTTTAAAACCCTGTATCTTTCTTAATATCAACATTTGATTAAAGCAATTTGGCTTAAATCGTAATATTTTGAAGTGTAGAATCTATGGTTTCTTTTTGTACAATTACTTAAGGATCACCCTGAATATTAATATCTTTTCCTAAACTTTGAAAAAAAAAAGATATATTTTTAAGATTTTTTTTAAGAAAAAGGTTTTCCAAATTTTTGAATTTTCTTTTAGAGCTAGGTTAAATTGAAACACCGGGATCGTATTCAGTGGAAAATTTTACATGACAAATTTATTTTTGGATATTTTTTTGAGTATCTAGAGCCCATCATTCAGAAAAAAGTGATGAAATACTGGAAAAAAATTTTTTACTTGGAAATATGTAATTTAATTATCCATATAAAATAGAAAATCACAAGGAGAGGACAGAACACCGAACGAACTCCTAAAGTACGGAGCACCAGATCTGACAAAACAACTATTAAAACTAATTCAAAAAATAATAAAACAAAACAGAATTCCTCAAGAATGGAGATCAAGCATTCTAATACTTCTCTTAAAAAAGAGAGATAAATCGGACCCGGAAAATTACAGAGGATTAATTTATTAAAGACAACACTAAAATTAACAACCAAAGTAATAACAAATAAATTGAATGAAATTGTAATGTATCAGCCACATAACCCAATTAACACTAAAATGGCTTCGATATTGCGTCCATATCGAAGCCATTTTAGTGTTGCTTCTTAAAAGACAGAAAATATTTATTTTTCACGTTGAGAACGCCTATGAATAACTGTTCTGATGAGACCTATTAGGTCGAAATACGTATCAACAGATACATAGACTCTTTGTACATGAAATCAAATCTTGACTGTCTTTTTCATTTTATTCGGATCTACTCTGTATGAGTACAAGAAACCAATTCGCAAAGGATTTCTGCTTAGTTGAGCAGACATGTGGAATGCAAATTTTAGATTCCCCATGTCTCTTGTAACATCTTTATCAACGTCTGTTATACCTTGCAAATTTTTAGAATGTTCAGATTAAAGCAGAAATCTGAATTGTGTTTCGAAACTATTTTACGGACATATTTTAAAGTATAGAATACGTCTGTAAAATTGCAGCCAAATTGAGAAAATTCACCTGACCAACTTTGCATACTTGACATGTAATTACACCCTGTAGAAAAAAACAAGGGGAACTCATTGGCGAAGTAAATAATAATAACTGAAGTGTTAGTTCAATATTTGAAAGATTTATTAGAACTTAAGGTTAACAATAAAATTCAGAAAATTCAACAAAATATTAAAACAATATATAAAAGCTGTAGACACTTACCTGTTTTATTATATGGGATGGCTGTATTGACTACAAAAAGAAAGCAAAACATAGCAACTGTTATGAATTTCATCGTGAAATAGCAATAATAGTCAAATTAAAGAACTATCTGAATCACTAGAGATTTAATATTGATTTGAAAATGATCTTAGTATTTTATATTCGAACGTAGGTGTTAAGTAATATGTAAATAAAGTTTACATATCAGTTCTAATTGTATTAATGATGTTATTTGTTTTAAAAACAATCTTTGATTGATACAGAAGAGTCTAATAAAAAAAATATATTTTGCTCATTATTATACAAATTAAGCACGAAAAAAGCAATGATAATAGACAAAGGTTAATCTCACTATAGTTTGTTTTTATGAACGAAAGAGTAATTAGCATAATTTTAACTGGTACGTCCGACCACTCCATGGGCGTGCTCAAGATTAATTGAAAAATTACTTTGAATAATTGTAAAAAATAAATTAATTATTTCAGTGTTATAAAGTGTTATGTGTATGTAAACAAAAGTGACCCCTTTTATCACACAATATATTAGAACTGACTGGCCTACATTAAAAAGGGTTTTTAAAAAATTCACATTTTTTTTAATTTTTAAAAATTACAAAAGAGAAAAAGAGTTTTTAAAACCGTCTAAGGTATGTTAAATAGATGAATAAAAATATTAATATAAAACTTACAGCTACTTGTTACAAATCCAAATCAGATTCAGAAGATGAACTTTCAGAACCAAGATTTATAATAACTGGCTCGATCATTTTATCAGTAATATTGTCCAGCTTCCACATTTTTTCCTCTTCTTTAATAGTGTGATTTACTGCCTTTTCCCAGTTTTCAGGTTTTACATTATTTACGGCCTCCAAAAACAACTGTTTAACATCATGAATTTTAAAAGTGGTATTTTTTCTTGAAACTTCACTCTTTATCTGTGCCCATACCAGTTCAATCGGGTTTAATTCACAATGATGTGGTGGGGATCTAAGTACTGTCATTCCACGATTTTTGGCAATTTCATCAATTTCGTATTTTTTAAATTTTTCTTTATGAAGGGCACACAACGAATAAAGTTCCTTTCTTATAGATCCGGGATGGTACGTAATATTTTTTGAACTCAGCCAATTCTGCAAGTCTTTTTTTAACCACTTGGTTGTGGGCAGTCCTTCTATAAGTCAGTCATCAATCAAGTATCAATCAAGATAAAATATTTTTCTTTTTTGGTTTCTCATTTCCTTTATGGTTCTTAGAAAATGTCTTCTCCATATGACAATATCGCTTCTTTCTAATAAAATAGACTTTCTGGGATTCTTTTTCCAGCGGAAGCCTATTTCTTTTAAAAGTTTCCATAACGTACTTCGACTCATTTCTGGGTAATCCTTATCATCTCGAACTGAGACAAGAACTTTATCCAATGTTGGAAATTCTTGTCTAAAGAAGAATTCATGCACTTTCCGTCGAAGTCCTTCTTTAAAATGATATTCTATTTGAAATGTTGGTGTCCCTGGAGCATTACGTGGCATTTGAAAACTACCACATTTCTCTTCTTTAATAACTCTGTAAATCGTAGATTTCCCAACACCAAGTGTACTGCTAACTAACTCAACGGTCTCATCAACACTTTCACATAAACGTTTGTCTGTAAATGATTTAAAACAATTAAATATTAATGTTTTTTCATTAACTGTTAAAGGACCAATTTTTCGGCGTTTACACGGCACTTCCAAATTTTCCATAACACTAGTATACACGTTTAGTGAACTGTTACGAATTTTGAATACGCCACTTGGACCTTCCTACAAAATGGAAAAACCCACTATCACATTTTCTGTAGAATAAGTTTAGATGGTAATTATCTAGTCAATTACTGTCGTGGATTCCTGGAATTAAAGAATTAAATGTTTGATTGTTGAAACCCTTACTTCGTGGAATGCACTCATTTCAGATAAAATAAAACGTTTTATTTTATCTAAAGAATTAAACTTTATTTTGCAAATAGGTAGGTACTTATTAAACTTTTATTGGTTATATATAACCAATAAAATAAACATCTTACATTTCTTGCAAATTCATTAGTACCTACCTGTTAACCTCCATCACTCCGACACTGGCAACCTTATTTAGGGATTAGTAACCCTCACAACTATTGTATGCTATTCTGCTCCAACCTTTATATCTGGTGGTCATACTCAATTTAAAATTGTTTTCCTATATACTTCTGTAAACTTGTTGACAAATATCTGTTTTTCATTGAGTCACCCGTATCAACAGTTTAGGGATTTGCATTCATAATTTATTGTTTTATTACTCTCTCATACATAAAAATACACTATAGCCATAGAAAGGGAAGTTAAGATAATGAGTTCTCATTTTAAGCGAAAATACCTTCTACCAAGGAAACAAACCAAATTGATCATGTGGTAATTCAGGATAAATTATCACAACTTATAACTAACGTAAGAACTTACAGAGGTGCTGACGTTGATTCAGACCATTATATGGTCGGAGTTAAGTTAAAGTATGAGTATTCAAAAAAAATCCAAAAGAAGGCAAAATATAAGATATAACAACGACGAATTGAAAACAGAGGAAGTAGTCAACAAGTATAGGCAAGATCTTCTTCTTCAGGTTCCTTCTTCTGTCGGAGGTTATTAAATTATTATTATTATTAATGCTATTTCCGTTGACCAAAATACCTTCCACAATATCCACTAAAGCTTCTTGAAATATCACTTCACTGTAGACGTTGAATAAGAGTGGTGAAAGTATGCACCCCTCTTGAACTCCTCTAAGTATACTTACTTCCTCTGTCAGTTATTCTTCGACTCTTACTCTTGCTTTCATATTTTGATACAGATTCGATATAATTTGTAGATCTCTACTATTAATGTTTTTAGTCTTAAGAATACTTAAAAGTTTTTCATGTTGAACTCTGTCAAAAGCTTTTTTAAAATCTATGAAGCAAGCATATATGTCCTGATTTATATTCAGCATGGTTGTGTCAGAACATTGACTCCGAATATTGCTATTCTAGTTCCTAGACTCTTTCTAAAACCCATTTGTGCATCATATCTCGGGATAGGTCTTAAGGAGTTAATTTAGAATAATTATACAGGGTGTTTCAAAAAAAGGTTACCCCGTCTCTAGGGTAGGTAAAAAACTGAAAAGTAGTTTGCTTAGTAAAAAATTTTTGTAACGCCATCCGTTTTCAAGACACAGGGCAGGGCGTTGGAGAAAAAAAAATTTACGCATTTTTTACGATTTTGCAGAAACTGCTGGCAACACTGTAATGAAATTTTATACGAATATGTTTTGGAAGCTGGTACATCCCATGAATTTTTTATTTTTATATCTAATTCTCATAGACGGCGCTAGTTACACTGATTGTACTAAGTATTAGCCAATATAACTTTTTTAAGAGTATAATTATTAATCAAAATTTCAAGTAAACTTAAACATCATTCAATTTTACACGAAAAAGGTACACTTGGTAAAACTCGTTACTGTTTACCGTTTTCGGAATATTTTGATTTGAAAATTGTGAAGTAATAATAATTGATGCTGGTAGTAATGATAAAGTTCTAATAGGTATACCTCTATTTTCTCCAAGTGTGCCATGGAAATCTGACATTTATTGATTGTTATGACGATAAATCAACAATAATTAGAGTTTTGAAACCTTGTTATTTGTAAAATCAAACCAAAATATACTCAAATGTTGAATACACTGACATGTTATTAACCTTAGGCGAATGTTTAGGATGTTCTAGTGCAGCTGTGATACGTTATGCAGAAAAGTTTCCTAGAAGAAAGTTACCAAGTAAAAAATCATTTAGAGCCGTTGGACAATGTTGTCGAGAAACTGGGAATGTAAGACCAAATAAAATAAATTCTGGTAGACCAAGAACAACAGGAACAATCAATAAAGAAAATAATATTTTAAATTTATTTGATCAAGATCCAACAGTTAGCGTAAGGAATATAGCAAGACAAACAAATACTTCTTCTTCAAGTATTTGGCGGATACTGAAAGAACAGCAATTACATCCTTATCATTACAGACGCTCTTGCCACAATCCAAATTTTTTAAAATGCATTCTTTTTACGGACGAGGCCACCTTTACGCGACAAGGTATGTTTAACTCCCATATTGCACACTACTGGTGTGATGAGAATCCACGAGTCAAAAGGGTATCACATTACCAACACTCATTTAAAGTTATTGTTTGGGCATCAACTTTAGGTAACAAATTAATAGGTTATCATATTCTACCTGGAAATTTAAATGGTGATATGTAGCTTGATTTTTTAAACAATTTTATGCACGGTGGAGCTCCACCACACTTTGATACAAGGTGTCGTAATTGGTTGAGTAATCATTTTCCGAATCGATGGATTGGTAGAGGTGCAGAAGCTCCGATTCATTGGCCTCCTTGGTCATGCGATTTTAACCCTTTGGACTAAGCAGTTTGGTCGTATATTAAGGAAAAAGTCTATGCTACAGAGGTAAATTCACGCCAAGAATTGGAAGAAAGAATTCAACGTCAATTTAATGACATCATAGCTGATTCCCTACCGTTTAGAAGGTTAATGGAATTTTTAGAAAAAAGAATAGACTTGTGTATTCACGAAAACGGAGGGCATTTTGAACACTTACTGTAATTGAATTTTATTTTATGTTCTTAGTCATTAATTTAACTTTCTTCTTGTGAGTTTTTTAATTATTTTAGTTTAATTTTCAAATCAAAATATTCCGAAAACGGTACTCAGTATCGAGTTTTACCAAGAGTATCTTTTTCTTGTAAAATTGAATGATGTTGTAAGTTTACTTGAAATTTTGATTAATAATTATACTCTTAAAAAAGTTATATTGACTAATACTTAGTACGATCCGTGTAACTAGCGCCCTCTATGAGAATCAGATATAAAAACAAATTCATGGGATGTATCAGCTTCCAAAACATATTCGTATAAAATTTCATTACAATGTTGCCAGTAGTTTCGGCAAAATCGTAAAAAATGCTTAAAATTTTTTTTTCTTCAACGCCCTGTATCTTGAAAACGGACGACGTTACAAAAATTTTTTACTAAGCAAACCCTAATTATTTTTTAGTTTTTTATCTACTCTAGAGACGGGGTTACCTTTTTTTGAAACAATCTGTAGTATATGTTTTTATTCAAAAAACAAAAGGTATAACATTTATAAATTACTGCAAAAATAAGGGTTTTTGCAATTATCTTGGTCAATTGTTTATGTATTTTAATTTAGAAACTCTTAAGTTAAAGAACTTTTTAAGATTTACAACTTTTATTTCAACCATTTTTCTTAAAAGTGAATCGGAAACGTTTCATTGACAAAAATGATCTTTTTCCTTTTTATGCTTTTTAATATTATGGGGTAGCTCTTAATGAATGATACTTCTTTAGTGGTGAAGAAGTGGTGGGTTATTATTTTTATCATTTTTGGTATTTGTGGTTTTCCCCAGCGACAAAATGCCAAAATGGTGTGATAATTGCAATAAAGTAGATAAATACAAAGAAAAATTGTGTTAATTATTATTTATTTATTATTTGTAGTACAAAAATGGCATATAAATATTTCTAACATATCAATTATAAAGATAATTATTAAAAACAAGTCTATAATCTATAAAATTACAATAGATGTTGATATATCATAAAATAGCTCTTAGTGAGGGAAACAATCTTTTACCAAAACACATTTTCCTTGTTCTCTACTTAGTATATAATCCTGATTACAAAAACAACCATTAATGCACTCTGGTGCACAGTTTGCAAATTGACGATTGTTGCACGTTGCTATACATTGAGATTCACATCCATAGTGAGCATTGGGGTCGTCACAGGAGTCTGAAATAAAAGTATTAAATTATTTCATTTTTAAATTTTGGTATTAATATTCTTTTGTATTTGTTTACCAGAGAATAGGTGGGAACAACTTTGACAAACGATTTAACAAGTAGCCGATTTAGCACTACCAAAATTATCTCAAAGAAGACAAAAAATTGGTATGATAATTATTATAAGACAGTGATTGAGGAGAGGAATATAGCCAGAATGAATAGGATAGCATAATGAAGAATAATTTTAACAATCGAGAACTATATGCTGAAAAGAGATGGGACGCAAAGGAAATATGCACAGCAAAGAAAAAGTTGTAGCTGAAAGAAAAATTAAATAATTAAAAAGAAAGAAGAAGAAAGAGAAAAATTAAAGAAGATTTTGTAAATAACAAAGTCAGGAACTTTTATCAAGGAATAAAAAGAGAATAAAAAGAGAGAGAAAGGGAATCAAAAGAGAAAAAGAGAATAAAAAGTGAATAAAAAGAAAGATTCCTTTTATAAAGGAATAAAAAGAGAATGAAGTGAATATGAAACCACACCGAAATATTATAAAGATGAGGACGGACATTTAGTAGGAGGAATAGACGAAAAATTAGGCAGAGGTCAGATATTTTAAAACTGTACTAAACATCACTGAAGAACAATATCTTCAAATACAGCAGCCACTAGAAGAAACAATAAATCGGAATAACGATGATGAAATACCAATAAAAGGAGAAATAATAGACATAATAAAGAGTTAAAAAAAAATAAAGCACCCGGTGAAAACGGCATCATAGCAGAGTTCCTAAAGGAAGGGGATCAAAGCTTACACGAAGAAATCAAAGAGGTGATATGAGAAGTATGAACCAAACCATTGGATAGAAGCCACGCAAAAAAAGCTACATTTTTTTAAATTCTGAAATTATTTTAAAAATATTTAAACAACACAAACAATTTGTGTACTTACTTTTTTTAATATACGAAGAAACTGCGAAGTTGACCATAAAAATAAGGCAAAATGCAGCAACTATTGTGGGCTTCATGGTTGAATCAATGACAGTCACGTCGAAGAAATATCTGAATCACTAAAGATCGAATGTTGGTTTGAACATCCTACCTGATTTGTATCTTATATACAACCGTAGGTGTTAAAAATTCAAATCTTATTCTAATTATATTTATGATTTTGCTTATTGAATAAAACAGTTTGATAAGATTGATAGCAAAGAAGGGCAATTACTTAAATTTGCAAATTTAACTGACACATATGTCGGAGTAATGGATATTTGCATATGCAACATTTTAGCCTCAAAACATAATATATTAATTGTATATAAATATATGCAGTAAGATATACATATAAAATATTTACATAAAATGGCGATCATTCTCTTGATTTATTATGTACTAAAATAGAATGATGTCTGTAATTAGGGTTTTTTATTGTTCTAGTAATACGAGCGCAATCAATTGTTATATATAAGTTAATTATCATATTTATTATTAATGTTCGAAATACAGGAATTTGAATTTTACAAATTATTGTTTTATGAACAAGTATTTTTTTTGTAGAAGCCTATCCGTTCAGGATGTAGGCTATCTTATTTTATTTGTTGCAAAGCAGAACATCTCAGTAGTAGTTTTGCTATACCAATTTTGCTTGTAAGAAATGCGTCTTTTTCGTGGTTCCTTTTGTCATTTATCTTCATTGGAAAATCAACTGAAGAAGACCCTAATGTTTTGATTTCTGATTATATATCCCAGACATTCTAACCTTTGAGTTTTCTTCTTAAAATATCATATCTTTGCAGAACATTGCGTTATCATCTTAGCTATTTTAATCTTATCCACCGCCATCCTACATAGCTTGCTTGTATCAATAGCATAGCAATCTCAAATTCTTTAACGTTTAAGTCATCCTCGAAAATCCTAACGGTAAATTTTAGTTTGCTATCTCTATTTCAAAAATTTCTTTCTTTACGAAAACAAAATCTGTTCATGAAGTTATATTCTAAACTTCGTTTAGATATCTCTTTCAAGCCCAGGTCAAAAATGCGTTTACCTTTTACTCCAGCCGATTATACACCGAGACAACCCCTGCAGTGACAGGTTTTGGCTTACAATAAGACCATAAATCTCTTTAGTGGTGTTTTGAGTAAATATAATAACAGATCAAAGTAATATAATCTATTCATAAATTTACAATGTAACAAATGTACATACATAATTTATTTGTTATTTTTTTTTACGGAAAAATTGGCTGTCTGAAGTTTAACGTAGATTAAAGTTTATGGAAAATAAAAATTATAAAAAAAGATTATTATTATATATCATAAAAATTTGATTAGTATCACGATCATTAAAATTGATAAAATGAAACGATATAAATATAGAATTATGTCTAATGTTTCTTCAGAAGGTGTTTCAAATAATAATTATAATAAAAATCTTGAAATTTTTGTAGCATATTTTCCCACAGTTCCATATATTTATCAATCTTTTCGAATAAAATATTTTTTGGGGTCCATACCGCAAACTAACAGTATTCTCTATTCGATATAAATAACAAAATAACTGTCCTTGCACTGGATAGTAATAGAAATCAGTTCTTTTTAAAATTTCTTGAAGGAAGGAATAATTTAGTCACGCTATCATTTCCAATTTTGATTTTTGATATTGAATTTGATAGGTTGTGATTTATTACACCAAAATCTAATAAAATATACCATGACACAAGAAATAGTTTCAGAAGTTTGATGTGTTGTTTATTATCATTCAGTAAGAGACTAATTTTCTTCTTACAATGCTAATCTAACAGACAATTATTATTGTCAAATGAAAGAAATAAGATAATTTACTTGTGTGCTTGTGGTTAGTAAACGTCGGCCCTATGCAACTAATTGTCAACAAAGAACGGAGTACAAAAGTTTAGATTTATGAGATTTATGAGGAGCATTTATGAAACTTAGATGTATACTGAGTACTTATTTCAAAAATTTACAACTAAGGATTTAATTTGTTATATGTAAATATACTCCTATAATCTAGAGAAAATGGGAGTGCGACAATGGGAATTACTGGCACAGGACCGACAAACATGGAAGGCAATAGTAACCGCGGCAAAGACTTACGAAGAGTTGTAGCGCTATTGATGATGATGATGATGATGATGATGATGATGATGATGATGATGATGATGATGATGATGATGAAATATACTGTATAACTATTTATATGGATGTGAAATATGGATCATGAAGGATAATATGATGGACATTTTAGGATGTATGTTGAAAAATTAAGGCAAATACGGAGCACAAATTTAAAAATCAAATCTTGCCCAAGTACTTTCGCTTTCTACAGCATCATCACAGGCATCTGAAATAAGCCAAGAAAAGTTTTTTTAAATGAAGAAAATTAATAAACTTCGATAAAAAACTCGAAGTTAATGGATGATAAAATCTTCTTCGTCTATCCAGCAATCTACTTCGTCAAATTTGGGCTATCCAGCAAGCGCAGATGCCCCTGATGATGCTGTAGAAAGCGAAAGTACTTGGGCAAGATTTGATTATTAAATTTCTGCTCGAAATTTGCCTTCATTTTTTAAAGTTTATTTATTCGAGCATTCAACCTTATATTAATAATTTAGGATGTGACTTAGGTATATGATAAAGTATGACAAAGACGCCATAACTATAAACTAAGACTACATTTACCAAAACGATACTCTCAAATAATTGACTCCTCCATCTTGGAAAGATATTTCAGAATTAAACAGGAAGAAACATACATGGAATTGACAGATATTACAGCAGGGCTGCCACAAAGAAGTGTCTTTACCTTTTGTATACGTGTTATATTATTGTCCTAGAAAATATACAATTGCAACATTTACCGAAGATATTGCTATCATAGCAATATGCAAAACCAGCGAGGAAGCGACAAAGAAATTACACAGATGTTATCAAATATCTACCAGAGAACTACGAACACTGCGTTCGTAGTTCTCTGTATATACTCCAGGGAAATAAGCTAAAAATAGACCATGTTCGTGACACTCAATAATCCAGGTCGCTGACAACTTTTTTAGTTATTGTAGACCTCTAGGAAGAAAACCTACTTGTTTCTTGCCTTGAATTTGGAGCTGTTTTTAATTATTGACAATTTAATGCAAAAAACGCGACTGTTTCTATGATTATTGCTATTAGTATTAAAAAAAAAAATAAATTTTTGGAAGAAAATTGTTTTGCACGAATTGTTTAAACAAACTAGACTATTTATTAATTAATTAATATATAAACAAATTACTAATTCCTAATGTACGTAGAAATTGCATACAAATTAAAAAAAGAATGATCAAAATCCATTGAGTAGATCCGGAGATATAGAAAATTTTATTAGTTTGAAATTGCTTGTTCGGTATGGATTTGTAGGTTCTTCCTAGTCACCATTTGAACTACATTTTTGAAAATTCGTAGAGGGTCCTGTAAAGGTACAATGTTTGTGCAAATTTTTTAACAAAAAATACAAATCCCATTCGTTAACATGGCAAAAAATGAGGTTCCTTAATTATTATAATCAAATTAGCTGTGAATTATCATCTTTTCTTTGACTTGATCTACTACTTGTTGTAATTGGTCGTAAAACGCTTCCCTTGTTGTTTGAGGCTTATTATTTTCTGGGCCGTATACTCCGATAATGTTCAGGTTTTCCTTCTCCATTCTTATCTTTGATGTTACTATTCTTTCTGATATGTATTGACACTCTTTGATGTAATTTTGATACCTTTGGTGTATTAGTAAGGCTACACCTTCTTTGGCCCTGTTTTCTTTTGCTACTTCACTGTAGATTAGTATGTATTCACCTAATTTTGATTGACCTTTTCCTTTATTTTTTGTTTGCTGTAGAGCACAAATGTCTATTTGTTTCTCTTTCAACACTTGGGTTATTTCTTGGTCCCTTGAGTTGAGTGATCTGATATTCCAAGTAATTCTCATCTGGGTTTTGGATGTTTTTTGCTTGTCCTTATTTCTTGCCGTAGTCGTCTTCATAGTATCAATCCGGTTCCGAGACTGTACATTGTTTCTTTGAGCAGTATTTGATTTTACGATTGGTAGGTTGCTAACCAATAAATATAAATAATTAAATTTCATATTAAAATACTGCAAAATATTTGGTTATTACTCTGAGCTCATGTAAAGAAGAAAAGAAAATAATAATTCTGATTGAAATACAAAAAAAAATGTACTGGATGATTGACCAAAACTCTACGCTGTTTCTATATAATAAATTATTATTATATAAGCAAATACTGAAACAATTGTATTATTATACAAACAGTATAAATATTTAGAAAGAAAACGGAAAATCAACAGAAAATATTTCTATTCATATAAAAATTTAATAAAATTATAGGTACTTACTGCTTATTTATATAAAATTTCCTATTTTAAATACAATAAACATACTGGTTTGTCAAAAGTCGGAATAAGCCCTAATAATGTTATTCAACTTTATTTATCCTTCTCCGAGGTTTTTACCTACCTGGCGAGAATGCAGAAGCTACCGACAAGGACACCCTGTGCTGACGGAGAGAAAATTGCATTTAGCAGAAATTTGAAATTTTTTAAAAGTTTATATCAAATAGCTGCTTTGTGTTACACTTTATGTTAAAAATAAAAACAGATTCGGAAAGTGGGTCAAATTCTGTAGTGCCCTATTTCAAAAAAAATTTTTTTCGTTTATTTTAACAAAAAATATTTGAAAAAAAAAAAATTGTTTAAACAATTTATTAATTTACAACCAAATAGTGCACTAGAACTTTTTTAGACCTTCCATATAAAAAAAGAATCATCTCAATATCTGCCATAGTTTTTGCGTTATTTGATATAAACTTTTACATTGGAATTTACCTATGCCCAGAATCGCGAGGATCTGGATTCCGTTTGTCAATTGCATAATAGTTTGATAACCTATATTTGGGTCTCTCTTGAAACTGTTTATAATCATTTTAAACTCACAATTCATTTAAATTTAACAATTAAAAACAAGGTTTTGCAATAAAACAATTTTGAAAAACACATCAGAATCTTGTACTTAAATATTTAAATTTTACTTTCACTTTAACTTCAAAAATAACGATTTTTACTGAGTTTCTGATCTTTAAAAAATGGCCAATTTCGCATTTTCAAAATTTCAAACGCTTATTATAAGTTGTCAATGATCAACTTTAAAAAAAGTAACTAAGGATCTTTTTTCTGTTCAGAATGACTTAAAAAACTTTTGAAATTCGTTTAAAATTTTTTTTAAACAAGATTAACCAAGGTGGTCCGTGGTTCTTGCGGATTTGATATTAGAGCCTACTTTTTTATAACCTTGTGCACTTATCTGAGTTTAGCGTTTTTGGCAGATATCTCGATTTTCCCGTGGTTGAATTTTGCGCTAGGGAATGATGGGGTAGTTTTTGGGGGTTGATCAATGTACTAACCAACATTAATTAGTTAGCGATCAAATATGCCTCAAAATGGGTCCTGTAGCCCTTTTCATTGCCGAGATGTAGCTACGGCCAAATAGTTTTGCCATAAAAGTCGATATCGTCTGCTGAATCGATGGGTAATACATCTCTGGTGTCGACAATATTTTAACATCAAAAGAAACCGCATTGTCGCGAAATACGTCAAGTACATATGGCGGAAACTTTTAAAAAATATCATATTCATTTATTTATGTTATATAAATGTTATGTAACAATGAATTTTCATAAGTACAGGTCTTTTAAGTTCTATATAAGAAATATTTTTGTTTCAGTCTTTAGATTGTGACGTGTTTCTGACCAATCCTGACACATTGAACTACTTAGTGTCAAAAAATTATACAATTGTGGCGCCGATGCTCAGAGCCGAAGGTTTGTACTCCAACTTTTGGCACGGCATGACTGATGATTACTACTATCAGCGAACCGAAGAATATACTCCGGTATTGCATAGGGAGAACCAAGGATGTTTCACTGTGCCAATGGTTCACTCGTGCGTTCTTATAGACTTAAGAAGAAGAGAGTCTGATTATTTAACTTATGTTCCTAGTAAAATAGATAAATTTGATGGACCTAACGATGACATCATCGCTTTTGCCATTAGTGCCAATAGAAGTGCCATAACTTTGAATATATGTAACGAACTTAAGTTTGGATATATCATGGTGCCGTTGGAACAAAACGACCAATTGAGTATAGGTTAGTATGCTTCATACATAAGTTAGCTTAGCTGCGGCCTTTATTTTTAATATTTTTCTAATATTCTTCACTATGAATCTTTCTATATTATCTCAGAGTAGTAGCTTTATACATAAGTATATGAATTTGACACTATAAGCAGCACTAGTTTCCTTTCTACATAAAAAAAATTGTTTTGTTGCGAATGAAAGTGACTCAAGTCACTGTTTGTTGTGGTGTAAACCCCAGTTAAGTGCAGTTTCCATCTTTAATGACTGATCTTAAATTAATATCTTAATATCATCTTATTCAGTGAAAAATGGTGAATGAGTTTCAAGCTTTATTAGTGAATTAAAGACATTTTAATTAGTTATTAGTTTAATTTATTAATTATTTACTTAATTACTAATTAATTAGTTATTATTATTGCGCAATTATGGCAATTGTGTGAGCGATTTTACAACTACCTTACTATAAGTCGAGTTATATAAGTGAATATTGGATTTAATAACGTTTATTTTGAGAGTTTCTTATAAACAGTAAAAAAATGGAGTAAGACAAGGAGATGCGCTCTCAACGATACTATTTATTCTATCACTAGACAAGATAATAAAAAAGCTGTCAAACGCAGGAACTATAAACAAGAATGTTTATAGTTCATAGATATAACCATAGTAGCAGCAGATAAAAGGGGCGTTAAAGAAAACCTTCCAAGAAATAGAAAACGAAGTTAAACTGAGAGGACTGGAAATAAATGAAAATAGAACAAAATACAAGAACGTAAGCAAGAAAAAGAAGACACAAATGACAGAACTGACAATAGATGTACATAGTTTCGGAGAGGTTGAAACATTGAAATATTTGGGAGTACTGGTCAACAGAAGAAATAAAACTGTATATATGACAAGAAGAATTTAAGCGGGAGATACAACGTTTTAAAGAAATAAAAAAATGTTTAGAGATAAGAAGATAAGCCGAAACACAAGAGTGAAAATCTACAAAACGACCATAAGACCAATAGTAGTATATGCTACAGAAACATTTACATTAACAGCAAGAGAAGAAAGCAATCGAAAGTTTTGAGAGGAAGATTATCAGAAAAATACTGGGACCAATAGGGGAAATGAAGAGGATACAAAACAATGGATGAATCACGAAACACAAAAATAGAGCGTTTAAGAGAACATAGTTAGAGCAATAAAAGCACAAACAATTAGATGGTATGGACACATAATGAGAAGAGAGAAAAGCAATTCGTTAAGAATTATAATGGAATGGATACCACCAGGTAAAAGAATCAGAGGCCTGAACTCCGAAGAAGACCTAAACCACAGAATAATAAACAATCAGAATGCCCACTCTCAGATACCGCCTTTGAAGTTTTTCAGCACGCGCGTTATGTTTTAGAAGGAAACACCCAACACAGACATATGATTTATTAAGTACGCACAGATGCGCGTACTTAATTTTCCATGGAGAGTGGGCATTCTGATTGTTTATTATTCTGTGCCTAAACTGAGATGGAGACAAGTGGAAGAAGACTTATGGAGTATGAATATTAGAAATATAGAAAGGACAATCAAAGAGAGAGAGGAGAATGCAGGAAAGTAGTGGAAACAACGAAGTCATACCAGAAACTGTAAAACAAAACCCAGAATGGGATGATCCCCAACACAAAAAGGATCTTCAAGTGAAAACCACTCAAAAAAGATCTTCAGCTTCTTCGGGAGCTTATAGCTTGTATATATATAGGTAGGTCTCTAGGAGAAGACTAAAAAGAATTTCAAGGGTGACCTACACGTAAAATACTGCTCTTATGTTAAATCTGTGGACCAGTTTTTTTGTAAACTATCTTCATCTTGCCTCTGTTTTGGTTGACATGTAGGTACTTCAGGTAGGCTTTTTTCTATTCTTTACATTTTTACTTCACTGCTGTATAAAACCACACAGTTGTTCGCCTTGGGAACCATTTAAATCGATCAATACTACAATTTAAATCGAGATATTTGTATTTCTATCCTCTTTTTTCCATAATTGTCGATCTTTATCTTCGAGCACTCGCTGTATATTTTGAATATCTTTACGAGTGTTGTACAATAACAAAATTATATATATTTTTTAGATTACGAACAAATGATCAATATGAAACTAGAAGTTTTAAATGAAATTAATGAACTGTATGTCAACGATCTCCTAAAGAAGTTTGTTCGCGAGTTGCCAAGAAAAGATACGTTAGGCTTCGATAAAATTTTTATGATCAATCTTTTACGAAGGCCCGAACGAAGGAAAAGAATGAAACACTGTTTCGATGAATTAGGGTTAGAGGTGGATATTTTAGATGCTGTAGATGGAAAGTAAGTATTTTTATAGCCATTTTCATATTTCCGTAAACAATTTCCTTAATTCTGGACCTGAGTATTAAAAGGGCCAAACGCTATTTTCGTTGTTTTGAGTGATAAGCAATTTAAGTTTCAGGAAAAGTAAAATGTCAATTTTAAATTTAAGTAAAATAGATTTTTGATTACTAATAACAAAATTTTAAGTAAAATAAAAGTGTTTTTTATTACTAAATATTGTGTTGTCAAATGTTGAGTAAACTTGAATTTTGAAGGAGTTTGGCCCTTTAAGAATTAAGAAATATTAATAATTCTTGGAGATTGGCCCTGGGATAAAATATGTATTTTGCAAAATTCGTTTAAGTATTTGAAAAATAACATAGCTTCCTGTAAACACAAAATATTTGTAGTTTTACTGTATTTCTTCCTCTAAAACAGGATAGTTATCGGCATCTAATGTTGAGGAAGGTTATAACTGTTTAAAATACGTTTTGTTATGATCAATAAGGTAAGGCCTCAACCGCATTAACTGCAAGAAGAATATGAGGTGGCACGTCTAAACATGAATATGACAAAATGTGAATATCTCTCAGTGGGAACAGATCAAATATGTGACCTAGTCTTGGAAGACAACAAAATCAAAGGCGTGCAATCCTACAAATATTTGGGGGTCATTTTCAACAAGAAGGGAAATAGCGCAGATGAAATCAGGGAAAGAATAAACAAGGGCAGAGCAGCGACCCGTGTCTTAAACTCTCTTCTCTGGCAAAAAACAATTCGACGAGAAACCAAAAACCACATTTATCGTATTAGAGTCCAAAGTATTACACTTTACGGTTCGGAAAGAAATGGACGACAGAAATGGATTATCTGAGACGAAGCTGCGGTAGATCGAAACTAGAAAGAGTTAGGAACGAACAAATAAGAAACGAAAGGAAAATGGAGTGAAATATCAATGATGACATAGAAAGAAAACAATTAATCTGGTTCGGACATGGTAAAATAATGCCAAAGTACAGATGGCCTAAAAGAGTACTGGAATGTATCCCTCCTGAAAGAAGAAAGAGAGGACGACCACGGAGAAGTTGGCGCAACGATATTGATGAAGCAATGGCGGCAAGAGACTTGAAGAGGCAACTGCATATTACAGAAAAAGATGGAAATTGGGGGCGGAGAAGCGGCGACCTCCGTAATCAATCCGCTACTATATAATAACTGCATTAAATCATCATCATTAGGAATCTAAAGTTAAAATATTTCCCATTATTAATGAAATATTCTGTAGATATTAGAAGAACATTTTTGAAACGAGTATTATTGAAAAAATAACTTTACTGCATTCTATAGGAAAAAACAAATTATCCACAAGATTTTTTTTACTTTTTGATTGAATACTAAAAATAACTTTCAATATCATTTTGTCGATTTTAGGGCCCTTAATGAGAGTTTTCTGGAAGAAATCAAGTTCATGCCAGAATTTTCTGATCCTTATCATAAAAGGTAAGTGAAAGCATTTGTACATTTATCTTATTAATTAAATATAATAATTATATTATTTACGTGAATATTTTCGTTTCGGATAAATCTATTCTCTTTAAAATCATTTGCTTTTTTTCTTTTAATTATTTTATCTATATTCCTTGGAATTGTGTGTAAATAAAATGTGGAGTCAGTTTGATAAAGTTTTAAATCTCGACGTAGAAGACTTATTCTCCGGAACGTTTTACAGAAACAATTATTCTCTGTAAATTATCGTCACCTGTATTAACTACGTGTCCACAGAACTTTAGAATTCGCTGCTGATGTTGTGGGCAGCCTTTTTTAATCTCAACTTGGTTAAGAATAGAAATGTTTGTACGATGAGCTGTCCAAGGTATGCGCAGTATTCTTTTCCAACATCACATCGTAAAGGCATCGACTTTTTGGCGTTTTTGTACGCCTAGAATCCAAGTTTCTGTCCCGTATAGAAATATTTCTTCTTCTTTTTATATAGGCATGACTCTGTCTGTTTTTCAATGTGCCTCCAGTAGTTTGTCGTTCCTTCGTTTTCGTGGTCTTCCTACTGATCGTCTTCCTATTGGGGAACCGTCTCTTGCCATCTTTACTACTCTATTTGTTGTCATTCGGATTATATGATCGTTCCATTCTGCTCTTCTATTTCTTACTCAGTTCTTGATGTTCTCCACCTTGCTTCTACGTCGTATATCTGTACTTCTAGCTCTGTCCCATAGTGTCTTACCATCAATTTTTCTGTGTTTTCATCTCTGCTGTTTCTAACATCCTTTTTGTCCTCTCTGTGTCAGGTCTTGTTTCTGCCGCTTATGTCATTATTGGTCTGATGACTGTTTTGTAAATTCTGCCTTTCGTTTCTTTCCCGATATTTTATTTCTCCATATTGTTTCATTCAGGTAGCCAGTGGCTCTGTTTGCTCTATTCACTTGATCTTCCACTTCCGTTTCAAGCTTCTAACCATGCATTTTGTCCTTTTTGGGGAAATTAACATGGTACATTTTCTGACGGTTTAACTAAATTGGTGCACCATACGTTGTAAATCATCTTCACTTTCAGAGAGTAGTATTGCGTCGTCTGCATAGCAGATTATTTTAAATTGTTTTTCTCCCATTTGGTATCCTTTTTTTGTTCTTACTTTTTTTTATTATTTCATTTATGATTAAAATCTTTTGCGTTCTTTGCTGTATATTTAGCTATTTTATCTATTTTCTGGGATAAACTGGGAGGCTAAGTGTGATGAACTGGACAGATTTATGGGTGGAACAAAAGTGGCGCAAGCTTGGAAAACATTAAAACAGTTTAGGAAAAATGAGAAAAATGAAGACAACATTTCTCTCATAAAGGTAAATGAATGGGAAGAATATTATACGAAACTGCTGAAAGAGGATAGAGTAGAGTACAGATGGGAAAAGATAAGGGAATTAATAGACAACAGAGACGAAAGACAGGAAATCCCTATAATAACATTATCTGAATTGACGGAAACCTTAAAAGAGGTTAAAAACGGAAAAGCCGCAGGGCCTGGAGACATTCCCATAGAGCTGGTTAAATATGGGCCGACTGCACTTTTAGAATTAATAGTAGACCTTTTCAATAAATGTATGTGTGGAGACCAGGAAATTCCTAAAGATTGGAATAAATCTTATATAAGCTCCATATATAAGAAAGGGAATAAAAGAGACTGTTCCAATTATAGAGGTATTAGTGTGACGAGCTCTGTGGGCGGTTGTACGGCAGAATATTAAAGAAGAGGGTTGAAAGACAGATACAAGATATTGAAGAACAAAGCGGCTTTCGTACCGGGAGATCCTGCCTTGATAATATATTTATCCTACGACAAATAATTGAAAAGCGTGTCGAAAGAAGTAGAGAGACCCATTTGGTATTTATAGACCTTGAGAAAGCATATGATAGTGTCCCGTTAAAGAAAATGTTTGAGGTCCTCAAAAGGTCCGGATTGGATTCGACGTATATCCGAGCAATATATAAATTGTACGAAAATGCAGTTAGTTGTGTAAAAATTGGAACCAGAACCTCAAATGAATTTAAAGTCACTAAAGGGCTAAAGCAAGGATGCTGTTTGTCACCGACACTCTTTAAAATATACGTCCAAGAAGCATTGAGGAATTGGAAAATAAATGTAGATTTATGGGCATCGAAGTGGGACAAGAAACTCTGTATACATTGTTGTTTGCAGATGATCAGGTGGTGGTTGCAACCGATGAGGAAGATATAAATTATATGAATCGAAAATTATTTGAGGAATATGCCAAATGGGGGCTTACTGTAAACATAAGCAAAACAGAATATTTAAAAATTGGAGGAAATACCACAGATCTGAGGCTTGAAAACGCAGTCATAAAAGGCTGCAACCAGTATAAATATCTGGGAAGCATCATATCAGCAGATGGCAGAGTTAAGATAGATGTACAAAACCGAATAACCCAAGGGAAAAAATGCATCCGAATACTGAATTCATTACTGTGGTCTAATAAAATAAAGATGCATACCAAACTTCGCGTATACAGAGCAATTGTAGAACCAATTACCACATATGGTGCCGAATGTTGGACGATGACAAAGAATGAACGAGATAAAGTAGACGTTGTGGAAATGGATTATCTTAGAAGGTTATGTCGAGTATCGAGATTGGAAAGAATTAGGAATGAGGAAATAAGAAACCGTACAGGAATTAGAGATACTCTTTCAGATAGAATACAAGGAAGGCAATTCCGCCAGAAAGAAGGAAAAGGGGAAGACCACCAAATTCCTGGAGAAGAGAAATTACAAAAACAATGCAATCTAGAGGCTTAGAAGAGGGAGATTGGGGAGATAGGAAAAGATGGAGGCTGAAATGCGGGAAGCGGCAATCGCCGTAGGACCCCCGTTATATGATGATGATGATCTATTTTCTTTGGATAAAAAGATAGATAGAAATATAGTCAGTTCGTTAAAAGTATAAAAGTTTTATTAATAAAACGTGGAGTCAGTTTGGTGGAGTTCTAAATCTTGACGTAGAACTTCAGGAAGGCTAAATCATATTATTCGGCGACTTTACTTAATAGTGGGATATACTTGGCTACTATTCTCTTAGTCTTCTCTCCGAAACAAGGAACAATTTCTGTTTTTAAATTATCTTCACCTCTACGAACTGCTTAACGAAAGAACTGTAGAATTTTCCGCAGACATGGTGTAGACATAGATGTCTACGTTCCTCACCCTATCAAGTCTAATGTAGCGGCAACATCGTCTCCAATAGTTCATTTCCATTACATTAATTTTTGATTAGTAAATATTAAAATTATTATATTGCTAAAGTTTAAAATTAAGAATTTCTTTAAATTTCTTGTATATTTTAGGCCAATGAAATTAGGCGAAATTGGGTGCTTTATGAGCCATCTTAATATTTGGAAAGAGGTAAGTGCAATAGACTATATATCTCTCTCTTCAATCCTGACCCCCCAGGGGGAGTGTAGTGGTCGACGTGATGTCCTGTATTGTCCGTCTCAGAGAGAGATCTCTGTCTCTGATCATTTCTTTTAATTCATGCATAGGTCTTTATATAAAGCTCACTAAAACATCAACTAGTTGTTGTCAAAACTCCCACTAAATTTTGTAGAAGTTTTGAAAACAAAGTGATACAGTGTAAAGGTATACTTTTCCTTTCAAACAATTTAAAAAGCTAAAACTTTTTTAATGTTACAATTCTTTAATTTCATTAATAATTAATCTTTTTAGATCGTACAAGAAGGTTATGGTACGACATTGGTTTTGGAGGATGACATAAGATTTGAACCGTTTTTCAGACATAAAGTGCAAAATTTAATGGCTGAAGTACGACGGATACCAAACTGGGATTTAGTGTAAGTAAAATATATATTGGTCAAAATTTACCATCGTAAGTAATACCTGAAAGTAAGTAATTTCACTTTAATTTAAAACACAAGAATGAAATGTTGACTGTTACTAAAACATATGGTAGCATTACTTACTTGTATACGTGCAAAAAGGCACTTAAACTAAGTATAAAAACCTTTTGATTTGCATATGAAAAGTTGTTTAAATTTAAAAATTGATGACGTAATGTCGGGGAGCCAATATCTTTATAGCTAGACACCAGGAGGTATTCTGAAGCCATTGCTGTCTTTCGCCTTTATTTTTTGCCGAGTTTTTCAGAGTAGATTTTAGTATTTAAATCAATAAAACTCTGTTTCAGAACCTGTTAGAAAAACATTTATTACAAAAATAGACACATCGGTTAGATGTTGACCATCTCGCTCGTTGCAATCTGGATCGAAAATTAAGAAAGACGTGCTTACACATATTCACTGGAATGTTGTTAATAGCGTTGCGAATATTTTGCTTCAGCTCTTCGATGGTGGCTGGTGGGTTAGCGTAGCCGTAAAAAAATCTAAAGGGGTAAGGTCAGGAGATCTTGGGGAAAACGAATATCACCATTTTGTGAAATCAGTTGTTAGGGCGTTTATTGAAGTATTCGCTGTGTGTGGCTTAGCACCGTATTGCTGGAACCATGTATTGCCTGGATTATACCCTGGAAAATTACTCAGTTCTGGACGTAGCCAATTTCGCAACATGGCAGTGTGTCGTGCACTGTTGACAACGTGCGTCCCCTAGCATCTTTAGCAAATTTAAATACTAAAATCTACTCTGATACACCCTGTATATGTGTATTAGCAATGACAATTTTTACGGGCTTTTTTTAGAGAAAGAGCTAAATTTAAATAATTTCTAGATATTTTGGAAGAAAGCGACTTCAAGAGAACGATGAACCGTGGGTCGAGGGCAGCAATTTCCTCGTACACGCCGGTTATTCATATTGGACGTTAGGATATGCACTTAGTTTTAGAGGTGCTAAGAAACTTCTTGACGGTGATCCATTAACACGGCTGGTACCCGTTGATGAATATTTGCCTATTTTATTTGATAAACATCCACAGGTAAGTTGATTAAATTTAGAAACAATAAATAAAATGACTAAAAATTCTGATTTAATTGGAATACGTTACCAGCTTAGATATAATAATAATAATAATACGACCACGCGCGTGGTTTGGCATTAATTTAGCCGAAGTAATCTCGCATAACCTAACCTAACCTAACCTCAAAATGCCGTTTTATTTTTCTCATTTATTTTTCAAACATTTGTGACGTATTCGCACTGCAACGTACGTTTTACAAGATTTTTAGTCCTTCCGATGAGTAATTTATGTGAACTAATTTTGGTTTACCTTTCGACAACTTCTTAATTCGGTATATTACGGCATTTATTCTCTTTTTAATTTCATAAGACCTTCCTATTGTTTTTGAAGTTTAGGAGACAAGCCTCGACGACGTTGTGGATTATAAGCCAAACAAGATCACCTACTTCAAAGCTTTCATTGTTGCATCAAGAATCATATTGATCTTTCAATCTGTTACTGGTTAACTGGATGTGTTGTCGGGCAAGTTCATAAATGTTGTTCATTCTTAACTTCACGGGCTTAATGAGCGGTCGACATATCTTCATTTGCAACATGTTCTTCGGAAGGTCTGCAGCCAAACTCTAGGTCGCAGGGCAAGCGAACTTCACGATCTTGTAGTTTCATTCACGGCCGAGCGGTAGGCCATTAGGAATAAATGAAGGTGCTGGTCCCAATCCCTTTAATGTTCTGATACAACTTTGGACAGGTGTTTACCTATCGTTCGGTTCATGCTTTCGACCATTCCATCTGATTAGGGATATAGCGGTGCGGTTCTGGTCAATTTGCAAACGTTTTGGAAGAGGGTTGACTCAAAGTTTCGCCCTTGGTCGGAGTGGATCTCCAAGGGAACTTTAAATCGACTGAAGAGTTCTTTAACAAGTACCTCTGCAACCGTAGCAGCTTCTTAATCTGGTATCGCATAAGCCTCAGTCCATTTCATAAAATAATCCATGGCTACCAAGATATATTCATTTTCATCATTTGTTTCGAGAAATGAACCTGCAATGTCGATTGCTACTCTTTCCATAGGACTACCAACATTGTACTGTTTCATGGGTGCCCTCTTTTTACCAACTGGACCATTACTGGTTGCACACAGTTAACATTTCAGGCACCGTCTTTTTACATCACCTTTACAGTTTACCCAATAGAACCGTTCTCGAACCTTTTGTAGAGTCTTCGTAATAAAGTATCCAACTGATGCACCGTCATGCAACTGATACAATTCTTCTGACACTTTACTTTTAGATACAATCAACTGAAGCTTAGATTCTGTACCATCATTGTTCTCAAAGGTTCTATACAGAAGACCATCTTTTTGTAATAGGCAATTACATTTGCTTCAGTAAGACTTGACTTCTTACTACATGCACTAATATCTTGCCAAGAAAGTGTTATACACTTTCCAGTGTTATACCAAGTGAAAGAGGGATAGAGTGAAGAGACAAGAGGGTTAGATAAAAAAATCCTTATAAGGAACCTACGGAAATCGTTCCAAATACAAAACAAAGAAGTATAATATGATGCTTGTCCTTGTGGTTTTAATACCTATTGCTGACAAAATTTATTTAATCTTTCCCAGTCCCTAGATGTACAAAAATGATGTCTTAGCTGTAGGAACATACGATTCACGATATTTGGATGAGAATTTATTATTGCTTATTTTAAAATTAAAGCACTGATTTCGTTGGGGTAAATTAATTTAGAAACTATTCCTAGAGAGTCTATTGTTTGTTTATAACATAATAATAAATTGTAAAGCATAATAATTGTTTTTTTTTTATTTTTCAGGATTCCTGGAAAGGATATTACCCAAAACGAGACCTAGTAGCCTTTTCAGCTGCACCTCTTTTAATATATCCTACACACTACACAGGTGAAAAGGGATATATCAGTGACACTGAGGACTCAGTAATAATACCCGAGCTAATCAAGAATAATCGTGAAGATCTTTGAACATACAGTAGAAAAATATATATGCTGCTAATTAATAATACTGGAGAGTTTTGTTTGATATTTTTATAGAAAATTATGAAATGTTTATAAAAAAAAACGTATAAGAGTAAGTATATTCGTGCACTAGGGATTATTCAAAATTGACATATATAATTAATTTTTTTGGTTCCCATTTAAGAACAAAGCTTTTATTCAATAGTGCTAAAACTTTTTTGCTCAATCAATATTAACTGTTTTTTTGCAGTCCCTTGCTGTAGTCTCTCTTTTTTCCTATTTGTCTTTTCTATTCATCTTAATCGTCTCCATGGCTATTTTTTGTTTTAAAGTCTTACACTTGACAACATCTCGTTGAGCCATTGATATGTTTTGAGAGCAACGTCCATCTTCAAAAATAAGAAAATAATCTGTTAGTTCATCGAATTTATTTCTAAAAAACAACAAAAAGGGAATGAAAATGAAAACGAAGTCAAGTCTGGGAAATAGGGTGGATGTTTCAGAATTAACTACTGACGATCACTCAGTTTTGTCATTGCTAAGTTTCCATTTCCAGACATCTTTTCAGTTCAGGTTTATTAGAAGTCGAGAGTAGTAATACTTCTTCATTTATAGTTATTTTTTAAGATAATCAATCAGCAAAATTATTTTTACATGCCAAAACTCCGACCTCGCTTTCTGCAGAGCTAAATAACCAACTTGTATCCACAGCTTAATAGTGTAGTATTATCCATCTTAATATAATGATACAAGAAGTCAGTTTTATTTTTTAAATATGTCAAACGCTTTTCGCGAGTGTAGTGAAGGCATTTGACACGTGACACCGTTCTTGCGTCAAGTACCATTTCTCTATGCACTGATCTTGCGAAACGATACAGTTTTTTCAGTTTCCAACACCGCCCTCACTCCGTTTGCTTAAAACTACTGCGTGCAGTTGGTTCTTGATTACTGTCTGGAAAGACCATCGAGCAAAAAGATAAAAGAGGGAATGTAAAGGTAGTGGGGACAAAAATATTGTGCTATCTTGAGAGGCCACTTTAAACAAGGAAAGACAGTCTCTTTCCTTGTTTGAGAAGTCAAATTTAGTTTGGTTATGTTATTGTTTGTCCCAACTGTCACATAAAATTTTATTTATATTGAAGTTTTTTACCAATTGTGTCACTTTTTAGACTATTATAGTTAATATTTAATTAAAACTTTCTCGTCTGAAAAATATTTTGTAGCTATTGTTAATAAGTGTTAGAAAATTTAAATTTAGCGCCTTTGCATTTCCGGATATGTCCGCCATCAGAGGCCACTTTTTTGGTCTCCCTTTCATAACGATTAGATTCCCTCTTTTATCTTTTTGCTCGATGGGAAAGACCTACAATTTTACATGGCGTTTATTGACATGTATACCAACGTAAGGGATAAACCGCGTGAATAATACTGTGATCTTTGGTTAAGGTTAAGATGAAAGAAAAAGATAATTATCTTAAATCGTTTTTGATTGCTATGTGCGAAATATACTGTTGCATATTCATGAATAAGAGTGTAGGTAAAGACGGTGGAAAACTTTTTTGTCAATTTTGATAATCCTCAGTGTTGTGCCATTGATATAACCAAAAAGTGCCTTTCGATGCCATATAACTTGTGATTTTATTATATGTTTAATAAATAATAGCTGCAGTAGTTGATATTATATCGTAAATGTCTAAACATTGAGCAAAAATAATTTTAATTTTTAACGAACGTATTTCTCAGGACACTTTGAAGTAAAGGCTTAGGTAGAGATTTATTAGGTAAGAATTTCCTAGGTCTTTTTAAATTTTTGATCTACATATACATAAAGCTTCAAAATTATGACTGATATTATTATTTTTAATTTTTTTTTATATTTTATGTTTTTAGTTTGTTTTTTAATTGAGGGGTTTTTGAAACTTCTATCTGTCTGACCTCTGACTTATATACCTACCTCCTATCTGTCTTTATCTTTTTAATTTTTATGCTCAAAATGTTGCAACGTTATTAGAAGATGTATGATCTCAGCTACTGCTTATTATCTATATATACAGTATTTAAGCGATAAGCTATTGTAAATCTACATTTGAATCAATGTACTAACAAATTATGGATTACTCAGCTATCTTGACGTAGCAACTATAAGTCTTTAATTAAACGGTTTTTGCTTTAAATAAAAAAAAACAAAGTGTATGGAATATAATATCTGACATCCTAAATGTCAGATTTTCTACGACTTCGGCGCATAAATCAGGCTTTTTTGAGGGTGGCTGTGGTTTGTGGCTTATTCGCATAGACCCGTGACTTTAGAAAACCCCACAAGGAAGAGTCCAAGGGAGTTAAATTGGACCATACGGTGGTCAGTTCACATCACCTCCACATGAGAATACTATCTCCACATGAGATGAGTATCGCCCTCAAATCGCTTGTGCAGAAATTGGTATAATCAAGTTTTTTCAGTAATGTAAAATCAGCTGCTTCGGATTTTCCTGCACATTCTACAGACGGTGGCGAGATTTTCAGTAGATCTTGCTGTTTTTCGACGTACATATATCGGTTGAATATTTACTGAATCGCTGGACTAACATTTATCCACCAGACTGCAAATAGTTCTCTCTATATCTATTCACGGTAATTTGGGACAACATACTGAAAAAGATATAGATGTAGTTTTAACAATATGGCTTCTTAAAATGTCCAATTTTCAATAATAAAGACTGGGAATAAGCTGCTACAAGTTAACTATACAAGTAAGAACTATATGCAAGTATAGTGCATAAAACTTAGTAAACAACTTTTTTCTAAATTGTCAACAGTATTTACTATCAGAGTTGGAGACCCAACTATTTTTTTGTAGGAACGGGACTCTTATACGAGTATAGCTAATATACATTTTCCGCTTTGCTTCAGTCTTTACAAATCTTGAGACTTCTTTATTACTTAAAGAAAATTCAAATAACCTAAAACCAATATCTTTCTCTTTATTACAAAATCCCTCTTCATCATCTGATATAAAGAAAATTAACCACAGTACTTGTTTTAGAAAAATTAATAAAAAACTGTTTGATTCAAAAATACTACACAAAGCATTATAACAAAGGAATCTGTCAAGAAAATAAATTACATATTTGTTAAAATCCGTAAAATAGTTTTGGAACACAATTTTTGTTGTATTTTACATATTTGTTGTATTTTAAGTCGAATTGACTAAGACATACTGTGCAATATCCAAAAATTATTTGTTATGTAATTGTAATATCTGTTAAAGTATTTTATAGAGATTTATTGACTTAAGTTATCGCTTAAATACAATTGATCTGTTTTTGTTAAAAAATAACAAATTAGTGCCTTATTTTTATATAAGTTTATATAAGTGTAGTGCCATTTAATCTAATAAATTTTTAATAGAATCTTCTTATTCTTTTATCATCTTTAACAACCTGACCAAAAATTTACAGATTAATTTTTAATGGGGAAAACACAAGATCTTTTCTAAAATGTCAGTGAATAGTTCATCATTATCATCATCATAATACTGCCACTGTTAAAAATATACTTTTCACATCCCTTTCCAGTGCTTCTTGTCTTGTGACGTGTAAATCTAATTCCTAGTAACCTCTGGCATGAGTACATCGGGTTGGAGACCTCACGTTAGCACTTTATACAGGAAATCATGTTTTTATTAGTCCACCCAGTGTTATTCTCCTGCGTCGACTTTTGATGTGTACTGTTTATTATCTCTGTTCTGACTCTTACAATTACATTTGAAATTATGTCTTTGGATAGTGTCTTCCTAGAATTATTCTTAATATGCTGTTGATTATAAAAAATTAAACAGCAAGTGTGCAATTCCATGAAAAACTAACGAGTTCCCATTGGAAAGAGGTGTTAGACAAAGAGACATGATATCAACCCAGCTCTTCACAGCAGTACTGAAGCATGCTTTTAAAACACTGAATTAGAACTGTGAAGTATGCACGCGCCGCTCCTTTATAGAGAAAAATGAATCTTACATAAAGAGAGGAGTTCTACAAGATGACGTAATATCCCCAAAGCTGTTTAAGACAGTCCTAGAAGACGTCTTCAAAACTACAAATTGGTCAACATATTGCATTAAAGCTAATGGAAACAAGTTAAACTACCTTAGATTCGCTGACGACATCGTTTCATCAATCCAAGAATACATCCCACTAGGCCAAATTCTAAAACTTAATAAAGATAACCAAAGTTCGTAAATGACTAAAAAAGCAGGAATATAAGCAATTGAGATTGTAGTGGGATTGAAAATAAACAAAAGTGAAACAACTTTTATAATGAACTTGGTTATTGGAGGAACAATAAAATTGGAAAACAATATCGTAGAAAAGGTTTAAATATACTTAAAAATCACCATGGACAACCAGACACAAGAAATACAAAGAAGAATTGGCCTAGGTTAGGCTATATACGGTTGATTGAAGGACATATTCAATAGTGAAGTCCTTATGAGCTTTAAGATAAAGATATACAATCAATGTATTTTTCCAGTTATACCACATGGATCCAAAACATTAACGCTCACTGAAAATAATGCTAATAAAGAGAATGGCACAGAAGAAAACAAAAAAAAAAATAATATGAAGAAAGGCAGAAAATATTTGATTTCACGCAAACAAATCCTATGTATCTCTTGATACGTATTTCGACCTAATAGGTTTCGTCAGAAGAGCTATTCATAGGAGTCCTCAACGTGAAAAATCAATATTTTCTGCCTTTTAAGAAGCAACAATAACATGGCTTCAATACGGACGCACTAGCGACATCTAATTACAACAATCGTAAAATAGTTTCGAAACACAATTCAGAAAAAAATAAATAATATTGGAATTAAATTTATATACGGCTTTAATGAAATTATAAGACTAGCAGAAGAACAAAAATGTTTTAAGGCGGGGAAGATCATGCATCGACGCTATATTTATAATGAGGAAAGAATCAGAGAAATCACTAGAAAAAAACAAACTGGC